ATGCTCTATCGAGGCCTCAGGATCCGAGCCCCACAGAGTGGATGCTGAACCCAGTAGTGTTTCAGTGGCTGTGCGAACGTTTGGGTCGTCCGATGGTCGACCTGTTCGCAACGCGGTTCAACAATCAACTCCCGTTGTTTGTATCACCAGTCCCGGTCCCGAGGGCCATCGATCACGATGCTCTCGCGTTAGACTGGACGGGCTTGGTCGCTTATGCTTACCCGCCGACAGCGTTGATACCACACATTCTAAGCCGGCTCCGAGGAGTTCGCTGTCGAATGTTACTGATCGCGCCCATGTGGCCGAACAGATCGTGGTACCCCGACTTGCTGACCCAGGTCACGCAGTCGCCACTTCCACTGCCTGTGAGACCGGATCTCTTGATCCACCCTCACACCCGTCAGCTTCATCCAAACGCAGGGCAGTTCAATCTGCACGCGTGGATGTTGTCACCGAGCGTCTGAGGAGTAAAGTTTTTTCTCGCCGGGCGTCTCGGGCATACGTTAGTATGCATCGTGATTCTACCCAGAAGGTGTATAATGCACGTTGGGTTATTTTCACGAAGTGGTGTTGTAAACATCACATTCATTCGCCAGATAAGGTATCTGTGCAGGATATTGCTCGTTTCATGTCTCACTTGCGAGAGACCCGGAAACTCTCCGGGGGTTCCATTGCCAACTATGTCTCGTCCGTTGCTACGGTACGGGACGTTGCTATGGGTACCAGTCTCTCCAAAGAGCCGGTGATACGGGGTATTATCAAGGGTTTCAAACAGCACGATCTTAAGAAGGGCCGCCTTCGGGCACCGGCCTGGGATCTTTCCCTAGTGTTGCAATCACTTACGGAAGCTCCGTATGAACCCTTGCATAGTGCTTCGTTCCGGCATGTGACTTGGAAAACAGCATTTCTCCTCTCCTTTGCCACGGCGGCACGTGTATCCGAAATTCATGCACTCGATGTCGCCAAGGTACGATTCGATAGGGGTGACGAAGGAGCGGTCCGCCTGGGCCTGCTCATGGGCTTCGTCGCCAAGAATCAGAGAGTCGGGCAAACGGAGAGAGAATTCACTGTAAGATCACTCAAAGAAATCTTACATCCTGCTGATACTGAGGACAGAGCGCTGTGTCCGGTTAGGGCCCTTAAGTATTATCTTAAGGCTTCGAATGAACGTAGACAAGGGCGTGACCGTCTGTTCATATCGTGTAACCCTAATCGCACGGTTGACATACCTCGCAACTCGATTGCGTTGTGGCTTCGTTCTGTCATCAATCTGGCGTACCGGTCTCGGGGGTTACCGGTAGCGGGGTCAAACCCGCACGAGATCAGGGCGCTAGCGGCAACATTTGCCCTACACTCGAATATCTCTGTTCGCAGAATATTACGAGGTTGTTACTGGCGTTCTGACTCGGTTTTTGCCAATCATTACCTCAAACAGGTCGCTGATGCCGTCGTGGAGAGTGTGCACCGTCTTGGCCCGCGGATCGCGGCGCAAGCGGGCACCTAAGGGGTGTGCCCAGCGCAATTCCGAACTCCTCAGGCGTCTGACCTTGCACGGTGGTCAATCTGGGTCTACTCCAATGTTCCCACTGCCGTGGGTACAGGAGTTGGGGTCCCGCAAACCAGCGCACTCACACCACAGGTGAGGGCGGCTTTTTGTGTGCTTTGTCCTTATTTGTATTTTGACAATTATGTCTTTAATTGTCTGTCGTGTATCCCAACCTTGTGATGCATGCTTACAAATACTGGAATTAGGTCACGCGCCTAATGCATACTTTAAGTAGGCTTGCTCTGGGATATACGGTCTGAATGAAATTAATTTCCCTCTTTTCGACTGTTTAACCTGATCTAAGATTAAGCTCACGCGGATACAGTGTTCTCATCCGCTGCGGCGATGAAATACCTATCCAGTGGGGCCGTTTGGAGTCACCAATCGTTTTGGCAATGACGATTGAGCCTTACGGTATGCGCTTGACAGTGCTTTGGTATTCCTATAGGGTAACGCCTAGCTAGGTGCATGCGCATCGAGTGCTTCCGCCTTGGTGTTTACTTCCGCTGGTCGGAAGGAACGCTAGCAGTCAGGATTCGGGTTGTAGGTGCTCCCCACCGCCTACTGTGGTAGTCAGCCTCGGTATAACAGTGGTAACGTATTACTTAATGTAATTTGTAGAATTTTCCTATTCGGAATATTCTATAAGTAATACGTTACCACTGGGCTGCTGCCCGCCCGTCCGTCCCCCGAGCACTTGCTCTCGCAGGAGACAAGAGTGAAGGGTGTCACATGGCAGCTAGGTGGCTACGCACGTGCTGCATGAGGTAATTGAGATCTCTGTGGTAGATTTCGCTATAGCAGCAGTTGTGGGAGACAACAGCCTCGGTATAACAGTGGTAACGTATTACTTATAGAATATTCCGAATAGGAAAATTCTACAAAAATGGGAAGGTTTTCCTGGGGTTTTGCTGGGATTATTGGTATCACTTGTGTTGTAGAGGCTAAAGACCCCTTCTGGATTGATTGTTATAAGTTGCTATGCAGTCGTTCATGTAACGATGTCATACGTGAAAACACATAACACATGTCACAGTCAAGTCTGGTTAATCCGACACTCGTTAATCCGACAATCGACTTTATCTGACACTAATGATGGGAACCGATTAAATCAGTGTTATTTGGACCCGTTAATCCGACAGTCTCGCACTCCGACTCCGACACACCTAATTGGCAACGAATTACCGAAATCACTCATTAATCAGTCTCATGAATTCGACACAGTGATCAGCGTACTCCGTGATCATCTGCCCGCGAGTATACAGCCCGTGTTTTGATGCGAGACGAGTCGGCTGGTAGCTGCATGTTACAGTGGCTGCAGAGATAAACTTGCTTAACAATAAACAATTAATGCTTTAAATAAACAAAACAGGATTAATCACTTGCTCAGATTGCCTTAATCTTATTAAGATCAGATACAAGTTTTCGCTATCGCCGAAGACATCCTATTACGGGACACGTCAGAACAACCTTTCACGAACTATGACCGACCAATGAAATGACTAACAAGAAGTCAACATCAACCACTTAGAAAGCAGCTTTCTTGAGCTTTGCGGTACCAGTTTCAAACTTGCGACTTCCATTCCAGACTATGCTTTTTAAAGTATTTTGAATAAGTTATACAGTCCCAAACAGTTGTGTTGTGTTGAGCTTTAGGGGTTGCATGATTAGAAAACATATTCTGCTAACAATGTAACATAACAATATGAATATTTCATTTTTATTTTTTTATTACGTGTTTGTATCATTATCTATCGTGTAGACTTTATCCTATTTTCGATCACCAATGTTGATACTACTTAATTTCGTTAATCCGACATAATCACATGCAACCAACCATGTCGGATTAATGGGACTTGACTGTATATCCGATTTAATGCTGTTTTCCGATTTCATGGTGTTACGTCCGACTAACATATAGGAATTGTATCGCCTGTTATGGTGTGTTTTCCCGCTCACGAGTTCTTGTCTTCGTGACATTAGGCAGTGTTATAGATTATTTATTTCACTGTTCAGCACCAGCTTCCTCGTGTATGTCTCCCGGTTGTAGTCTCCTGCAGGCTAGGGTATCTGTGCCCCACCATGCAACCGTGGGATAGATGCATAATGTGAGATAGGATAATTTAAAAAAAATTGTATTGCTTATCTCTCTCACTTCCGAATAGGTAGTGGAAACATCCTGTGCTGTGTTCCCGGAGAACAGAGAAAACATCTTGGCCAAAGATCCTACATTCTCATTTTTCAAGCTCCATGTATGGATCAAATTAAAAACAGCTTCATTAAAGAGTTTATTCCATCAGAGCAGCTAAGGCAGTCTCCTTACAGATCAACGAGGCATCTTTAGGGTGAATTAAACATACCAAAGTCCCTGAACTGTCAGCCCTACTCAAATCTTTCAGACTTGAGGACCAACAGAAAAAATTTAGAGCCCCAGCCCTAGCCCCATATAGTACCGCAACACTTAACCATTGATGCTTATGAACCACTGTATCAGGTGTACTTCGAACACCAAACACAGAAAACCCTGCTTCTTCTGGCGCTTGCCACAGTAGCCAGGATGTCTGAGATCCATGTAATAGATTTCAATCGCATTAGATTTGTTCTCAAACAACAATTCCATTCTGGATGAGAGCTGTCATACAGAGCAGCTGGTTTGAATCCTCTATCAGCTTCCAACCCTAATAAAGTAAGAGCTATTCCATCAATCATGAAAGGCTGCTTTTGGAAATCTGATACAGTCTTCGCCAATCACTACCTCAGAGATTTACCTACAGAAGATGTAGCAGACATTCATCAATTTGGACTGCTTGTGATTGCACAGCAACTCACGAAGCCTACCAGAAGATAATCAAAATTACACTCGCCCACAAAACATGTCGACTCGTAAATCAGCACATGAGTGATAACAATTGTGTTTAAGATTATCTATCTTTTCTTAACACTATAATCATTCAAGGCAAGCAAGATCTTGAAAAATCTTCGCAAATCTTACAAAATCCATAAAATCTAAAAAGATTTTCTTCCATTTTTGCTGCTCACAAAAAAAGGATGAAATACATTTTCTCCAAAAAATACCTACTTTTACAATAAATTGTATATGTATATACTTATCCTATCTCACATACTACATGTATATGCCTTCCCTTCTATCCCCACATCATAGCTTCACAGTGTGTGGAAAGAGAATGATGTGGCAGGAGTATTTATGTGATCAGGTCGTGAAGGTCGCTATGCACGGGATTACAGTGCGTGACCCATTTGTTTGTGAGGCAACCCTGGTGATGCTGGGATGTGTTCGGGTGAATTGTTCCTTAGAAGCTGGAAACTTTGTTCAAGCACGTTTCCACAGAGGACTGAAAGAAGAAGAAACAAATGCATACTGTGAGATAGCGTTATAAGTATTTTAATCTTCAATATATTGTAAAACTTACAATTATTATGTTCTTGTTTCCAGTTTTGATGCAGATGCTATAAGTATTCGACTAGGTGCACGGGTACCGAGGGGTGTGATGATCAAACAAACAACAGACAACCAGAGGCAGTGGAAGTGTCTCTGTATTGAAGGTGACATCACTACACCTGCTTATTGATTCCCATGTGCTCAATATATCCCTAATTGAATTGTGTGAAGAAGCAAAACTAATAATTGTATCAGTCAGTTTGTTTGTTATATTCTTTTTCATTATATCAGAAACTTGGAATGGTTATTGGTGAGATATTTTGAGGAGAAATTTTGTTACATTAATACATGTTCATTAAAAGTATCCTTTGCTGTAGACTCGATGTCATTTTGTTTTTGAAATAATTATTTCTTTTCCAGAGCCATTTGACAGGTCAAACACAGCAAGGTCTGTGTATGATGAATTCACCTTTCAAAGAGTCCAGCGTGTTTTCAGGAACAGCTTCTTCAGATTACGAAAGACAAATGACATTGAGTCCATCACCAGTGTACCATTCTGAGGTCCTGGATGTGCAGACGCTGCAGCCGACCTCAACAGCTGGTACAGCGATGGGGCTGGAGGCCATCACAACACCTCCCCATCTCAGGGTCCTTCATGGACAAACGTCCATGTGGTGATAGGAATAAGGACTGGAGAATCTCCCCAGTATTCCTAACCCTACTGACGCTGCTCTCTGCAGCTTCGAGACTGTTGACTAGATGGCATATGGGCCACTTGTTTTGATTCATAATTGTGATCATTATCAGTATGAATTTCTGATGGCTTTTCATTGAAGCAAACAAAGCTCCTGGACACAAGCACATGCTTCAAGTTAGGTGTGCAATATTATTTATGTGTGTGCATAATTTGGGATTTTGAGTCCCAAATGTACAGTATGACAACTGAAAGGACCTTGTGTTGAAAAGTGACAATGGAAAAGTGCCCTTCTTGTTCAGAATTAATGCCAGTCAAACCCCAGTCAGTGTGTAGTCCCTCTGTTATGATGTGATCACAGGAGTGACTGGTGCCACATTAGTAACTGTCTGATCTCAGGGTATAAGCTGTCTTTGTGTTGTATCAGTGATTTCCCTGTCAGATCCTTCTGTGCGCGCTTGGTCTCGCAGTCGACTTCATCTCTCGTATGTGGCCCCAAGTGATGTGACGTATGTTTGGAAGAGAGGAATATGTCAAGAGGTCTGCTGGCAGCTGAAGTCTGTGTGAATGTGTGTAGACCTTGAGTGACTCTCTGTGGAATTATTCCTGTCAGTGGTGGATTCTCCATAAGTTGGACCAGAGATGGTGTAGGGAAGGTGTTTGACTCCTTATTTTCAGGGTACTTTCCATCCAAAATGATAAAAACATTAAACACTTTTTTATAACAACACAGTGGATATCATTTTTTTCAGCGCAACATTCATTGTCCTAACTGTTTTGATTATTCATACAATAAAACAAACACATCGTATGAAGGATTTTTCTGTTTGTCGCTTTGGACAATCTGAATGTCCGTCAGTGCATGTTCTGGTATTTTCAAACTATTGGAATAATTTACTAGTAAGTTATAAAAAGATGTAAGTTTTGCTGTAGGCTGTGATGAACAACAACCATGACACTGTTAGCAATGGTTCCTACATGTTAGCAACTAGAAGATCATAGAAAATGGCAGGCAAATCTAGATTATTGCTTTATTTATAATGTTGAGTTGTTCGAAATGCTTGAATAATTATTTAAACTGGAGATTGTATAAAAACAGACATTGTTTACTATGGGAAGTAACAGTGTAAAGTATTGTGTATTTCCTAAACAATAGATGAATATGACATATAAGTTAGTGTTCATTGTGATGTAGAGATGTGTATGTAGCATCTGTGTAGGTGAGGAAGTGGAGTGAAACGTGATTCAACCGTCAGGGATCTATCTGATTATTTTGCAAATGATTGCAAGGAAGCTCGGTCACCAGTGATCACAATAATATGGCCCTCAACTTTGTCTTTCAAGTTTACCCTTCACAACCTTGTATGCGTATAAAGAGAAGATCTGGATGGGATGATGAAAATCGGAGGTCAAGGTCACATCAATGTGATGTTTAACAATTCTTCAGTAAAAGGTGTCCTGCCCTGATACCAGTTTTGCTAGAGTATTGATGACAGTAGTGTAAAGCCATACTCACTCACTCACTCACTCTCCTTCAGTTTCTGTCATGTTTTTCACAAATGTCAAAGGTCGAATTAACTGTCAATGACCTCACTCAAACATTTTGTAAAAACGACCTTTGAACAAAATAATTAATGAAGTATTGATATAAGTTGAATACAGCTATGGACTCATCGGTCATCATCTCTGATATGGTAGGCAGTCTTCTAGTCATAATTCTTGAGCAGTCTGATGGTAAGTGGCATGAATCAAGAATCTTTGTTTCAGTTCCCTTAAAAAAAATCACTTGTTTTTATTTCATGACGTTTGTGGACTTTGTATTCTTTGCAAAGTGTATGTAAGACTATTCTTTTGTACCATTTTGTTTGTTTGTTTGTTTGTTGTTTCACGCCGCACTCAGCAATATTCCAGCTATATGATGGCGGTCTGTAAATAATCAAGTCTGGACCAGTGATTAACATCATGAACATCGATCTACACAAATGGGATGCGATGACATGCATCAAACAAGTCAGTGAGCCTGACCACCTGATCCCTGTCAGCGTTCAGGGCTAGTGGATATATAGAAGACTTTGTCCTGTTGTTTCCTTACAAAGACTATGAGGCCATGACTAAGTGCTAATTATTTTGGGTTTTGGTGCCAATTGTGTTCCAGGAAATGGAGAATGTTTATAATGATGCTTCAGGTTTGTCGAAAAGGTCTCCATGTTAAACTCTGCATCAACACTATTATAGATACAAGTACATTTATCAGTGCAGGTGTGCATTGGTAGTGATATAACTGCATCCTGACGCCATCTTATAACTAATATTTCTGACTTGGCTGTACACAACAATCATTCCTTGTTTGTAATGACAATAGATGAAAGAAATTCTGTAAAATTAGAACTGTATAACCATCATTACAATGGCTTATAATAAGCATAATATTTATTAAACAAACAAGACGGAAGTGTGAAGTGATCTGTTCCTTTGCCATGTGGCTGTAAGATTGATCCATAGATGCCTAAACCCAAAGCAGTCTCAGGGAATTTGTGTACTTTCTACAAGCTTTGAAATCACCCACATATTGTCTGAAGTACAAAGTGCCACTTGCTTAGCTCAAAATCATTATACATGGCTCCACTTACGTTGAGTAGCATATTTCTTCATGTCAGTTAAGTTTTTTTATCTACATTAATGATGCTAGTACCATGGAAGAAAAGACATAACTTTCTCAAGGTTTGAAATCGTACTTAAGGATTTCTGGAAGAAGTTGAATCGTGTGACTTAAACATACACCATAAAATAATGAACTGTTCCAATCCAACAATAGGGAATTAGTCTTAATTCCTATCTCATAATATATGAATACAAATAAAATATGAAGACAACTACAGTGTTCCCTAAACTGTTGGACTGATGCCAGTTAACAAACCACGTCATTGGCAGCTGGTCTGGTCATGTATGACACTGACCTCAGGGAACTTAAAAATCAAAAATCAAAAAAAAAAAAGAGTATGAAAATCGTCTCATTGTAAAAATATTGTGATGTTCATGTTTTCATAGTTTATGAATTGACTGTTTTAGGACAATTTTACATTGTGGAAGTAAATATGCTTTTTAAGATCATTAACTTTCATTGGATTAATGAAAATGGGCATACATTATGTTCCAGACCAACACATTCATGTACATTAAAATGTCAGACATTGTGATATGTATGATGATTCATGTGAAATAAAAAACATTAACAAATAAGGATGGATTTGATTTTTCTGTCATTAAGATGGAACATCTCTGTTAAATCCCTCTTGAACCCAGATTCTTCAAGATGGTGATTTTTGTTTGTCACCGCCATGCGACCCGTGAAGATCCAGGTTAGAATAGGTCTTCAGCAACTCATGCTTGCCTTAACAGGCAACTATGCTTGTACGAGATGACTAGCGGGACTGGGTGGTCAGGCTCGCTGACTTGTTCGATGCATGTCTTTGTATCCCAATTGTGTAGATCAATGCTCATGATATCAATCACTGGATTGTCTGGTCCAAACTTCAATATGTACAGACCAAGCTGGAATATAGCTGGGATATTGCTGAGTGCGGCGTCAAACAAACAACGCCATGCTCAAGTTTATGAAAGTCATAAATGTGCACAACCTGTTATCTTTGCTGAAATATACACATCCCAGTTTCTTTGAAAAAATATATACCCAGCAACCTAAGATGATTTTAAGAGACAATGGTGATAAATGCGTCAGGTGGTCAGGCTTGGCCACTTGGTTGATTGGGTATCATCGTGACCCCTCAGCCTGGATTGTTGCTCACATTATCGATCACTGGATTGTCTGATGCAGACACAACTATTGGCATGCTGCCGTCATACAGCTGGAAACACTGTTTTCAGCAGTGTTAATCCCAACTCTATTGCATCCTAACCTGGTGTTATCTAACACTGTGAGCCTGTTCTAGGCAGGAGTACATGATGTACCCTAGCTTGCATGAGTGTGGAATCTACACAAGATTTATTACAATTACACAACAATTTCAGTTTAATCCTATTATTACCATCAGTGATTCTATGTAGTTATACATACAGTGCGCCAACAACATAGTGCCAAAATATCTCTCAGATCTGATTAAACCAGGTCACTTCGCTCTTGTCAACAATGGAAATTGAAAATGTTTGGTTTCTTGTCATATACACCTGTGAAGAATAAACATGGGCAACCCATGCTTGCTGTAACTGGCGACTATGCATGTCGTAAAGAGGCGACGACTGGGTCGGGTGGTCAGACTCACTGACTTGGTTGATGCATGTCATATCACAATTGCGTCGATCGATACTCATGATGTCAATCACTGGATTGTCTGGTCCAGATTTGATTATTTACGGACCGCTGTCATATAGCTGGAATATTAGTGAGTGTGGCTTTAATATGACGTGCAAACTGCATTTAAATGTAACTCTTCTGATGGAACTACGATTGTCTCCAAATTTGGCGACATTTAAACGTCTGATAACTCATTGTCATTGTGTTTGTATGCCATTTGAGCTACATTTGTGTGTGGAGTGTACATCGACCTACAATATGTGTTGTATAACTATTACACATATACACTGACATAGATTTCATGTTAATTGTTACATACATGCACACTGACATTGTGAATGTGAATGTATGTACATAGCTGAAACAACAGACTGCTTGGTCACAGAGCCTGTACTGAAAGACAACGCCTAATGTACACACATTTGAGATGACTACTTCATATTATTGCAAGAGACTCTAAAGGGACGAAATGACATTATCAATATGGCTTCTAATGAATGATATGATAAAAATCAAATTGGAATTCTGTGAGTACATTAAGAGCTGGCCAAAACAAGAGTTTTCACACGAGATGTTGCAAATGTGGAATGTATTGTAGGAGTTGTATGTTAAAGTAAAAAATCAGACTGGAATTCTGTAAACTTGTTTCAGGGACACTATTGCTTGGATCACATCATTAAAGTTTGGCTTGGGGTCATGTTTTGTCACACTCGTAGATACAAAGTGCATGCTGGTCCTTGGATCCCAATAAAACCATACCCTAGGGATTGGTCATTTATCATAGGGGGCAGTCCCTGGCCAGTCCCTTATATTAATGGTCAGTGGTGCCATTTCACAGGTGGATTCTGACTAAACGGCAGCAATCTGGTGAAAACAATGTAGTCAATAAACTTCTGTGGTGTTGCTTTACTAGTGACACATATTTGAAACTACTGAAGAGATATAATGAAACACTGCCAAAATGTTTCCTTGTTTCCTTAAACACATTGTAACATTTAAAGAAACATTCCTTGTAAGATATATGATAAACCTTTGTTTTTCTTCAAGATGAAAGAATACAATTCTGTCAGACTAGATAAATTCACTAAACATCCTACTAAAATGTTACATAACGTTTGATTTTCGTATTTTTCACATTATCAGGTTTGGTCCGATGATGAAAAAATACAATTCTGTCAGACTAGATAAATTCGCTAAACATCCTACTAAAATGTTACATTACGTTTGATTTTCGTATTTTTCACATTATCAGGTTTGGTCCGGTGATATCCACTCTGCTGAACGTGTTCCGCATTTCAAGCACTTCCGGTGTTTTTAGTTATGGTGATCGTAAGATTTCCATGGAACACTTTGCTTTTCGTGTTGTTGACAGTGTTTTTCGATGGCTTGGACACAAGTATCGGCGGTTTGTATTTTGAAGTTGTTATTTCAACAAAAGTGTCTCGCTTAGGTAATCTGTATGTACCAGAGACATGACATATACCATCTAAAAGTTTGATCCTAACACGGTTTCTCATTGTCACTCTTGTGTCATTTGGAGCATTCAGCATTGCGATCAGAGTATGTTATTGGACAACAATGCAGTTTACCGAGCGCAGCTTATATAGGGCTCGGGCTGGCGGCTGTGGCTCACAGATCTCGCGTGCCTCTTCGATCCTTTGGGTTAGGGTGGTAGCCAAAACCCGCGATGGGGTCCTACAGTCAAGACATGACATAACCCTATTGTCTTGACTGTAGGAACCCCATCGCGGCTCTCGGCTAGGTTAACACCAACTCTATTCTTAGCCCTTGGATCCACTTTCCGATCAAGCTCTCCATTACGATTATGAGGGTTAGGTACCCTTCTGATCAAATACCCTTTCATGATCCGAAGGGCTGGACACCGCTTGCCAATAAAACTCCCCTTTACGATCCTAACTCTGTATTATTGATTAGAATTGTGATGTGTTATTATACAGCAGATGAACTCCACACCCAACTAGCCTATTTCCAAGTAAAAGACCGATGTGCAAACTTTTGTAAGAATCCACTATGCGGATTCATACAGTTTGCACATTGGTTTTTCGATTCATACCTCAATGAACAGAAAAAAATACACACTCAATCCTTAAATAATGTATTTCGTTATTTATTTGGGTGTTTTGTAAATGACGTCTATCAGAAAGTATCACTAACATGATGACCTCATTACCTTTGTTGACCACACTTCATTATGCTACATCTTACAGTACATGTATGTTGGTTAAACATCGTTATGATTAACCAAAAGTAGATTTAAACATTCGATCATTATTTGTGCATAAAAGTCATATTTATTGTAGTTTGACTGTAACATGTCAGCATATTCTTTTCGCAATTGAATTAGCAAAAATGTGGGAAGGATCTAATGGTGACCTGTCATTGTAAAAAGTAAAACATTTCATCTGTATATCCAAGTGCTACACTAGTTATTATTAATAGTTTATATTATTAATTTAAAAATTTAAAAAGCATGAACTAAAGTAACCCGATATTGGAATATACCATTGCTGGAAAAATAATGGTTACAGTTCAACATGTTCAAAATACCTTAAGTTATGTTATTGGGAATTTGTAACCGAGTCACTGGTAGAGGCGGGAGAAAATGTGTGTACAGCTGATTGCTATTTCCGGCATAGTTTACGAGACAAATACACACAGTATTCTTAATCTCTGCATCGAAAATAATGCCTAGTAGAACAGGATATATAAACATGATAAATGAAATGGAAAATCATCATGTCTTGTGATGTTTTATAGCAATTTTCAAATTTTCATCTTGCATTTGACCAAGTTTGTTATCGATCTTCTGTTTGTTCCCCTGAAGTGATACAATGTAGTTTTTGACTGTACTTATCCTAATACTCAAAATATATCAGTGTAATGTGCATGTGCGCTTGAGGAAAAGTGAAAGGAATTAACTCTCAGCATTCAAGCACTGCGTAAGATTGTTAACTAGACTACGGAAGTCCTCAGATAAGAGCATCTCCCCATATGTCGTGCATCTTGCCTGCTGCCAGTAGAAAAGATGCAGGACATCTCAATGTATCAATTACACTCATGGCACAGCAGTGATCGTTTGTGATAATCTACTACTGAGGCCCGTCCCTCAGTGTATGGTCTCTGACATTATCATTGATTGTACTGAACTATGGCTAAAGTCGCATGTCGCCTGGCATATCAAGGAACTCAGAATTGATCATGTCTATGTTGTTATCACTATGCCTCTAGGATTCATGAATATCAATAAAATAATAGACACATCTAACTTTGTCTGAATGAAACATTAATGCAACTGACATGTATCCTGACTATGATGATTATGTGATCTGATATGTAGCAAGACATCACTTCAATCAACCGACTTTTTTGTGAACAAGTCTCCATGTGAAAGTGGGTTGACTAGTATAGCCTACAGTATATTAGCCCAAAGATAATAAAAGAGGTTTTACATATTCTAGCAAAGAACAATCTCTTTTAAAATCAGATCTTAGTTCTCGCTATCACTAAACAAAGATCTGAGGACATCCCATACGGGTCACATCAGAACGACCTTTCATCCAACCAATCAAAGCGTCGCTTACCAGATCATGAAAGTGACAGTCAAAATTTGTTTTCTAAACATGCAACCTCGAAAACGTTAACACAGGGTATTCCGACTGATCCTGTCGATATTATCGTCTATCTCTCGCTTCCGTAGGATAAACATTTGAACGGAGGAGGCGTTGCACAGAAGGTGGGAAGCACTGCCATAAAATCTCAACCATATATTAGGCATTCCAGAATGTTTGTTTGTTTAGTTTTCAAAATTTTATTCAAGAACTGTCAACATATTTTTCAAGCATACTCTGAAATGGAAGTCACCAGGTTGAAATGAGTGCCGTAAAGCTCGAGAAAGCTGCTTTCTAATTGGCTGATGTCGACTTCTTGTTAGTCAATTTCAGTGGTCGGTCAAAGTACACGAAAGGTTGTTCTGACGTGACCCGTTATAGGATATCCTCAGATCTTTGTTTTGCAGCAGCGAGAACTTAGATCTGATTTTAATGAGATTGAGCAAAGAAATGTATTGTGGAATGTCCAGGCAAAGGCCTGTGATGCTTACTGCTACTGGAATGCTGATGACTGATATGTGCATGTTGAACCAAGCTGTCATAGTACTGTGTCTGGTGACATGCCTGAACAAAATAACACCAGTACCACATTATAAATACCATGGTTACTTCGAGGGTCATAAGATTTCATACACAAGAAAATAATCGGATATGTAACATGTCAAATGAACATATGTACATATATTTCTGTCTATATTCCAAATTTGTTTAACCTTATTGAGATATACAATGAAACTATTTTGATCCCCATTCAAAGGTTGATATTTATGGATTGAATTATACATATTTGACTGCTTTTATTCAGGTCAAAACACACCAGTGACACATGGCAGTAGCATTGAGCTACCATCTTCAACTCCAGTAGGTTCTACTGCTACAAGCCAGTCTGCAGAGACTAGAAATTTACAGAGCACAGAAAATCCTCATGATATGTGCCCAAGCGGTGTTGACTGCCACAAGCTGGGAGGAGCATGCATCAAGTGCAACTTTTCTACTTGTGAATATGGGAAGACCAATACTGCAGAGTGTGCCGCAGTTGAGAACATAACTTGCAATGTAAGTTGTTTGTGGATCAGTTATTAATATGTTTTACCACAACTATATCTGATGTAGTCCCACTGTGTATCAAGCGCTCATCAACTTTATGTGAATTTATTTGTTTTCAGTTTCCTAAACTGATGATACAGAATCCATTTCAAATAAATGATACAATGTCTCCAAAACTGTTTATGAGATTTCTCTTCAGCATGTTTGGAAGATTAGATGTGGAGTTTATTTTGCAATATTTTAAGAATCTGTGCCTTAAATAATATTGTCTAATAATTGATTTTAAATGTTATGACTATTACATATCCACAAACAGGGCCATTCATCTGCTTTAAGGAACGTACCAGCCAGTGGCTCTTTCATTTAGTTTACTTACTGTTGGTAAAACCCATCTTGTTTATCAAATCAGATGCAAGTTGAACCAACTAATGTACTAAGTACATCAGTCCGTGAAGTATTTATTAAATTTACTTTGGACACAAACAACATAAAGAAACCAGAATACAAGACAAACTGCATATGTTTTATGCAGGGGTGTTGACATTGTGTCACTGAGTAATCTTGTTCTTGACATCAAACTTGGAAAGATGGTCACAGTCACTGTGTGTTTTTTTCGATCACTTCTGACATTATTGAAAGAGGAAAGTAGTCAAGGTCAACCAAGTCAGCCTGATCAACCGATCCCATTGGTTGATGCATGTCATTGTATCCCTAGGACATGCTTCAACCAAGTCAGTCTGACCAACCGATTCCATTGGTTGATGCATGTCATTGTATCCCTTGGACATGCTTCAACCATGTCAGCCTGACCAACCAATCCCATTGGTTGATGCATGTCATCGTATCCCTAGAACATGCTTTAACCAAGTCAGCCTGACCAACCGATTCCATTGGTTGATGCATGTCATCGTATCCCTAGGACATGCTTCAACCAAGTCAGCCTGACCACCCAATCCCATTGATTGATGCATGTCATTGTATCTCTAGGACATGCTTCAACCAAGTCAGCCTGACCAACTGATCCCATTGGAAGATGCATGTCATCGTATCCCTAGGACATGCTTCAACAAAGTCAGTGAGCCTGACCACTCGATCCCATTGGTTGATGCATGTCATCGTATCCCTTGGACATGCTTCAACCAAGTCAGTGAGCCTGACCACTCGATCCCATTGGTTGATGCATGTCATCATATCGCTTGGACATGCTTCAACCAAGTCAGCCTGACCAACTGATCCCATTGGTTGATGCATGTCATCGTATCCCTTCGACTTGCTTCAACCAAGTAAGTGAGCCTGACCAACTGATCCCATTGGTTGATGCACGTCATCGTATCCCTAGGACATGCTTCAACCAAGTCAGCCTGACCACTCGATCCCATTGATTAATGCATGTAATCATTTTTCTAGGACATGCTTCAACCAAGTCAGCCTGACCACCCGATCCTATTGGTTGATGCATGTCATCGTATCCCTTGGACATGCTTCAACCAAGTCAGCCTGACCAACTGATCCCATTGGAAGATGCATGTCATCGTATCCCTTTGACATGCTTCAACCAAGTCAGCCTGACCAACTGATCCCATTGGTTGATGCATGTCATCGTATCCCTTGGACTTGCTTCAACCAAGTCAGTGAGCCTGACCACCCAATCCCATTGATTGATGCATGTCATTGTATCACTAGGACATGCTTCAACCAAGTCAGCCTGACCAACCGATTCCATTGGTTGATGCATGTCATCGTACCCCTAGGACATGCTTCAACCAATTCAGCCTGACCACTTGATCCCATTGATTAATGCATGTAATCATTTCCCTAGGACATGCTTCAACCAAGTCAGCCTGACTACCCGATCCCATTGGTTGATGCATGTCTTGTATCCCTTGGACATGCTTCAACCAAGTCAGCCTGACTACCCGATCCCATTAGTTGACGCATGTCATCATATCCCAATTGCATGGATCGATGCTGATGATAACAATCACTGGTTTGCCTGGTCAAGACTTGATTATTTATAGACCACCTTTCATAGTGGGATATTGCTGTGTGCAGCGTTAAACAACAAACAAACTCTCTCTATGTGTGTACTCTCACATTTGTGAGACAGACATGCCGTCACTCTGGAAGGCCATGATGTCATGATGCACAACCACACGCTCCTGCTCACCAGGTTAGCAAAAGCAACACCTAAATCATGTGCAGTGATTTGTCAATATTTCCAGGATTCAAATCCCATTTTATCATGTTTTTCACCCACTCATATTTATTTTACAATGTTGTATACATAGGGAGAAAGAACATTCCAGCGACAGTACCATTGTCGTTACTGCTACCAGCTGGACCCCTTGTTGTACAAGTGCAATGCCTCAGCCTGCCCCATCAACACCCCTCGCAAGACCTGGCCAGCAAGACCCTTCTACACTGCCCTGTGTACTGCCAAGGATGATATCCTTTGTCTCGGTAGGTTGGCATTGCGTGGTGTCACTTTTGTTTAAAAAGATTCTTGGATGTTGAAATGGGGATAAATTTCAGTTTGAATGTTTGAAAAAAAATTGAGGTTTAACAAAACGTCGGCGTCACGATACGATGCGTATCCCGTTACAATCATGACAATGGTGTGCTACGATTCATATCCCAATATTTCATTTCGCAAGTTGATATTCTTTCTTTTCGCAGGTGAATCACAACCCTGAGTCATTTATTATATTTCAGAGATCAAAGATAGAGGGCACTGTAATGTTATCCTAGTTATGTCCAGCCATGAAATACTAGAGAATCTGCATTAGCTGGTGGTTGAACAGTTTCTTATTATTAATGTTTTTGCACTTGTGATGTAATGTACTATATGTATCGCATTACATGGGTTGCAAGTCAGTGTATTGTATCATGGGCCTGGTATCGTGATACAAAACTGTATCCACCAATAGAGTCTGTCCAGTGAAGATTTGTTTGTATAGACCTTGTTCCTTTTGCAATCCAGACTTCAAAACAATTAAGTACATAAACTAATTAATGTCTACCGGTACATGATCTATGATCATGATTATAAAGGAAAACTTATCATGTCTGTGAATGTAGTAGAACAATAACAACTGTGATCATTTGAAAGCTTTGACTGTCAGGCTATTTGACAACCTTTGACTTCGAATAGGAAAAGTTCCAACTCTCTTGTCTTGGTTGCAGGTTCCAGGAGGTTTTATCGCCAGCAGGACTGTAACTGGACAAGTGGCTACAAGTGGTCCACTGCACTTATCTTGAGGTACCTGATCATGGTCTAAGAGAAGATATTTATGTTTAACTGTGGCATGTAATCTCAGTGGGCTAGCACTATAAAATCTGCATTAGTCAGAACTAGTAGCATCTCTCTCTCTCTCAGTTGTTCTCAAGTTATAGTTCTAACTAAAAAGAAAAATAGCTGTATTTTTTTCAGAAAATCCAAATACAGTAAACTGTGGTTATAAGAAACTCAAAGGGCCCTCTAAATTTAGTTCATTATAACCATAGTTTGTTATAAACATATAAACAGCAAATGGACGTGACAAAAAACCCAGTTCTTTCTATCCGTCAGTTCGTTATGAGCGTGTTCGTTATGAACGTGAGTTTACTGTATTGAAATCAAACTTCCCACTCCACCCCTCCATTTGGTATACAAAGTGAAAAAATGTCCTTGAACGTCTTAGGTTGAGGTATAATAACTAAAGTACATGTTTTAAAAGTATGAACAGCTTGTATAGTGGTAACTCATGTCCTTCTTCTTTCCAGCATTACTCTTGGAGGTTTCGGAGCAGATCGGTTCTATCTTGGTTTGTGGAGAGAAGGCATTGGCAAACTATTTAGTTTTGGTGGACTTGGAGTGTGGACACTTGTGGATGTCATCTTGATAGCTGTGGGCTATGTGGGGCCTGCTGATGGATCATTGTATATATAGTCATGAGATCATTAGCATTGTACATTTCATCATCAGTAAGTCATGGAAGTTCTATTGTGTCGTTTTACTTGAAGGCGTTTCATTTTAATTCCTCATCAACTGATGTCAGATGTTCACCATCATTAGGTTTCTGGAGAGTGGTTAAGACATTTCAGTTTGTGAAAATTGAGTACAGTACTTTTTGAACATATAAATTTGGACTTTTTTCCACCTCTCGGGGGTAATTTTTTTTATTGCTATTATTGTTGTTTATAGATGTCTTTTTTTTTGCCAATGAACTCAAAAGTGAAATAACATATCATTACAATATCCTGTGTTTCATGAAATAATTTATCATACTTTGTACATTTCATAAGGCCAATGCTGTTATATTGGACAGTCTGTTGTATATAATATTATACAATAGATATAAATTGCTATTATTGCTATTAGATATAAATTGCTATTACAGTGTTGAATTTTCAGTTCCATGAATTCCAGTCAATGAAGAAATCTATGGAACTGGCTTTTTGCCAGCTACCATTTATTCGTTGCTAATTTTCCATGTTTCCAGAAAGAGTCGTCATTATGTTAGTTCTTTAGGGCCACACCTTATTATTTATTTTTCACCTGATGATTTGACACACTGGCGCCAATAACTACATTAAGAAAATAATTACTAAAATAAAAATGATTGATTTTTCCAACCATTGTTTTACATTCCCAATCCATCAAAGATAATTATACAACTATGAAAATATAAGAAAAGTAATTGTTAACTTAGTAATTGATTATGAATTGAGCATATGCATAGTCTCAACACCTTGTATTGAGAAACCTTTTCTGACAGATGTATATGCATGTGTTCATGTTGTTGTACAGACAGTAAACATCCTGCACGTAAAACAGAATTATATGGATCTTTTCCCAATATATCAACCACCCCAAACAACTGTATGACAAATAATATAAGAAAATATTGAGCTGTAACCATGAAACAATTATTTTTAGTTTTATTTCAATCTCTCCAAGGTAATTGGTTAGCAAAGAATCTGTAAACAATAAAATATTAATGGTGTGGCCTTAGGAATACACATTGTATGTGAATTGTGTGAGAGAGGGTATGTTTGAGAGTATCTTGAAGTATAAAGAAATAAATCTATTTCAGTGTTGTTTGTCTTGTGTCAAGAATAACGGTTGGTATTGGACAGCCCAGACACAATGAATAGGACCAGTTGCTATCTTATGAATTATATCCCAAAATGATAGCTGATATATACTTTATACTTACGCGTTGTGATACATTGTCAGGGACACTGTACCTATCGAAGGTCACATGAACATGTCAATATGATATTGCTTACACTTCTATTATATAACAAATTTTATCAATCTTTGACATTCAAATTAAAGGCAAAGCTCTGGGCTTAATAATATATGAAACAGACGATGTTGTAGAAAATATTATTTATATCTTGGAATGCCTTCAAGAAGATCAATACATCAGTTCAACCTTCATACATGTTACATTCTTTACATATCACAGCACCTTTGATTAAATTGCACATGTCACATTTTATACCTCAGGAAAAAATATTCATATTATCATAATGCTATTACAATAAAGAAACACAATCAATCTACAGCAATATGTTTAAGAAACTGCTGATTCAATTTTCACATGATCAAATCAATAATCCTTTACCCACTTCAGTTGTGTCCTTACATCTGGGTTTGGACAGAGTAGGTGAGTGTGTAGGCTTTCGCCTATTATAGCAACATTCCAGCCATATGAGGGCTGGTGTATACCAGAAAGGGGCTTCACGCATTACCCAAGTGTGGAATTGAACCTGAATTTTTGGTGTGACAAGTGAATGCCTTAACCAATGCCCTACGACAAAAAAATATTAAATTTTCTTTGTTCTAAACAAAATGAGAGAACACCCAAATGTGACATTCAGAAACTAAAGGGAAATAATTTGTTAAAGTTGAAATTCAATGTCTGAAAATCAGTTTTTGTTAAATTTCTTAACCTAAATCCAGTGGTGGCAATACATGTATATGGCCTCCTTAAACCATGTCTTGGTTAACTCAAAAGGAAGATCATTTTGCATATGTTAGGTAAACTTGTAGCTTCAAGTTACAATGTTCTCACAACTTAATTTGACCATAGGTACTCTATGAATCAAGCTGGGCCAGGTATTCATTAACATGAGGGAGTATTTTCCAGTAATCAGTTGCTATGGAAACCACTAAGTTATCTTGTCTCTCATGAACCTTGAACAGCAGATGATATCTGGCAGGTAGAAAGATGAGATACGATGTTTTATCTGCAAATTAAATCAAAAGAATTATTCCAAAATGACCAACAACAGCAAGCTCTTAAAAATACTTTCCAACAATTTTCACCCGATCTTCATGTTCTTAACACTGCTGTGTGTAATGTAAACCCAACTGATGGCAATAGATACTGACCAGGTCCAAGGCGGAACCTGTCCCATTCCTGTTGTAATTTCTTCAGAGGACATGACACTATCTTCACTGACTGCAGGCCTTCCCTGCAAACATCATGAATAGAAGAAAAAGATGTGTAATAATTCCCTTTCTGATTCAATACTTTGTCATAAGAATATCATTCAAATCTCGCAACCTTCTTCAGGCCCTGATATGATCCAGGCGTCCATGTCATATTGTACAACAAATGAACAGTAAGTGAAGTTTTTGTGTGTTTGTCTTGTTGTTAAACTCTGCACTCATCAAATTCTAGCTATATGGTGGCAGACTGTCAATAATTGAGTCTGGGCCAGAAAATCCAGTGATTGACATCATCAGGTGGTAAGAAACTGGAGTTACGTCCCTTAAGGCATCGTCTCTTTAAAGTTTATTGGGGCACAGTCATCAAAAAAAGGTGAAAATGTATTGCATGGACTTGCAAATATATATACTTTACAATTTGATGTTATGGGATATGATTAAAGATTAATATAGCAGTTTATGTGTTAAACCCCATATCGACCCACAACCCCTATATTAGCCCTCTGGGATTCCGCACTTTGGCTGGTATTGGGGTATCTGGGTTGATATGAAAACTGTCACATAGTAACTTCCAATTGATTTCTCAGATCCTGAGATTAGTTCTTGTACTAACCATTAGTGGCTACCAGTACTTTTAATTTATAGCGAGAATACATTTCCAACATCACATATGTCTCTGCTCGAACTAGGATCCAGCTACCTTAAACACTATTGTACCACAAACCAAAATGTGAGTGAATTCACAACTCACCGAGGATCTGAACAGCCAGTAATGTGATCCCAGAGACTGGAGAAGAATAATGACTTGTTCTGTTCCTCGAGTCCAACATGTGTCCAAGGGTAGGGCAGGAGCAAGTCCTCGAAGCTGATGTCTGTGGTGGGCAGTCTACAGTAGTACGTGTCATTCTTGTACGAGGCAAACATAGCACTGAAAGTACATGCAAATATGTACAGACCTCCAGAATCTATTACAGGCTATATATGAATCAAACACCAACTAATTATTCAATACCCCTGTATATTTAAATTTTTATATAAAACAACTTTAGTATATTCTGACATTTTGTGTGGGTTTGAAAAACAATCAAATTGGCTTACAGACAATAAGTTTTAAAAGATCTGTACAGATGGGTGGTCTTTGTGCAGTGTCAAAAACATGCCACTTGGAGGTAAGAATTTTAGGGAAAAAAATGCTGTTAAACAAATGTTCTCATAAACCTCTGGTGACGTCATCCTATTGTTCTCCAGTAGGGTTAAATCTCATAAACAGGGATGCTATAATATCTCCGGGATTTTATTAATACTTTCCATTTTGATTGTAATACATAATTGTTTCTCGGTAGTAATTTATTTTACATTTTAACACAATGTAATGAAATGTAAAATCAAATGACATATGTTTTCTTTATATTCTCGAGGATTGAACACGCAGCCTTTGTGTCTGAGCCCAGTGAGTCCCAATAGGCTACAGAGGTGATGAAAAATCACAATGCTTTTAAGAATTTATGATATTTAAAACCCTTATCCTTGGGATAAAACCTTTGGGCTGATGGTGAAGGAATATCAACTGTTCATAGGTTCAACATACAAACACATGAAACACTGTGGTATGAATACCTTGTGTCAAAGCTAGCAGGGTCTGGTAAGGTTGGTTGTAGTTCTACACTGAGCTGTTTTGTGTCTGGAAAATTGAAACTCAATGATCTATGAACATGATGAAGCCAAGATATATACAAGTGGTTAAGTCTTTGTTTCTATTGCATAATGAGTACTGTTGCTAAATAATACTTTTGTTTGTTGCAGGTTTGATAATTTAAAGATGTTTTATTTTTTTACAGCCAGTCTATAATCTGTAAGATGAAAGAGATATTGATAGTCACTTTTACTGGTACATATTACAACCATAACAACTGGAGATGGACAAGCATGATCATCAACTTACCATGTCTGTTCATGAAGGCCACATGAATATCTGAAATTTAACGAAAAGACAAAGTCATCTACATCCTTCGCTCTTATAAAGATACGCATAAAATCACAAAATGTATGTCATATCCCTCATAACAAAAATGATAAATCTTGAAGCTGTGAGTACAACCGATATTATTACTGATGGATAAACCAAGTGATTCCCTCTATTCTTGAAATGCTTTCTTTTCCTTCCAATGACATAAGTTAGTAATTTTAATAGCAATGTAACAAATAATTTCAAAATTAACTCTAATGTCTGAAGAGCAAAATGCATCTGTTCAATGCATGCATGATACATAACAACAAATATTGACTGGTTTATGACTTGTGCTGGGAACTGAAAAGTGATGGACAGACTGATATCATAAAAAATGAAAAACTATGTATTCCTGTTGAAAGCTGGTCTCATATGCAGATGATTTTACAGACTGGGCATGACAGATCAGTGAAACACTGGATTTTAGGTGTAGGGGAGATGTGTACTTCCTTTGTTAAATAGAAGGCATCTGAATGTCTTTTAGTGTGACAAGCACAGGGATCACACCACCAATCTTCCACTGTACATGCTGACTGTCAGCTCTACTTATCAACCATTGAGGTGGTTGTGATGGGAGAGAAGGAGAGAGGCACACCTTTGTGTTGTCTGTAGACGTTGCTGGTATCTACCTTGATGGACAAAGCGTGTAGTGTGTCAAACTGGCTCATCTGTAGCTGAAACAAGATCACATTCTTCCAGCATGTGTTCAACATCAGCACTTGTTATCTTTTTCAATATTTCCTGGTATAACTAAAGCTAATATGTAAATGACATTTAAATCAGATGTTTGGTCAAAGAGTTTTTGTTTGAATGAAATAATGACAACTGTTTCTATTTATTTCATAGTCACAATTTCTCTTGGATTGATGAGAACATCTTACACTTATTATCGATGACTGTATGAGACTGAGATGTAAACTTAATGTGATTGAGTATTCATCAATTTCATACGTCTTTTGTTCATGTAATGATAAGGCTTAAATAACTTTAGAAAACAAAACAAAACAAAACAAAGAAACATATTTTGAAGAATAAATAACATATTTGTTGCTGCCTGAATGAACTGATTTCATCAGTCGGGATCCAGTATCATTAACAACAGATCTTTGATAAACAAAGATCTGAGGACATCCCATTATGAGTCATGTCAGAACTATGATCTGATTTTAATGAGACTGGTCCTGACCCTTTGACTGGCCTCAACCTACCACTTGTAGACTGTGTGTGATCTGCAGTGAGACAGTCAGGGTATCTAACCACTGGTAGTAACTTGACACATCTGAAACACAACACAATGATAAAAAGAAAAAATCAACTTTGATCAGTTATTTCAGCTTTAATCTCTGCCCACTGAAAACCCAATAATACCCACAAACCTGAAAATACATGTTTACTGACATAGTAAATACACACATTGTCTACTCGTACTCAAATACAATGGAGGATGTCATTAACTTCCATGACAACTGAACCAGCCAGGTTTGCAGAAAGCTCAAAACAAGAGTCATCAGGAAGATGACATATCGCCCACCCCTTGCCCCGGTCTGATGCAATTCGTAAATGGACTCATACCCACTTTTGGTTCATTTGGATACCTTCAGTTCAGTAAGGAAATAAATAATGCTGTTCAGAATTTTTCAAAATTCCAAATCATCAAAAGGCACAGTTCAACAATAGACTGATCTGTACAGCAAGTTTCATCCCGAAATATTCAATGGTTTTGGAGTTCTGCTCTGGAAATGAGCACTACATTTTCAGTGAAGTCCAACTTATTGTCATGCAACAAAAATAAAAAAAATAAATTAATAAAATTCCCACATCACTACCCTCATTTTCAGTATAAATCCAAATTGTCATGAAAAAAAATGCTGCCATGTTGAGTGCCTCATTATCAACTTATCAAGCACAGAATTCATGCCCGTCAGAAGTCCACAAAATATCCAAACTTAGAAAACTTTTAATATTATGGGGCACAGATGCCATATGGTTTACAATCTGATAGTTTTGAGTGTAGTTTTATAGCACGGGCTACACAAGTTTTACTTCAATGCATATCAAACTGTCATCCAAATATGTCAGTTTCACTTACCACTGCTGAAGGTGAAACTGGTTTCACTTTTGAATTCAGGCAGTAGGCCTAACCTGTAAGAATATTATAGAATCAGAGCAACATTCATCCATCACATACAAAGTAAGATGTTAATATGGCTGTTACAATGGCTGTCACATGACATCATAATCAGTGTAACTTCATCCTTCCTGATGATACGAATGAAACATGTTGGAGGGAGTATTCTGTGTTGTGTTTTGTTTTGAGTTTTATATACCAGTATATATTTACACAAGACATTAACATGGGCCTCTGAAAGCAACTGAAATAAGTACACGATGTCAATACCTCTCCCACTGGAATATTGGCTGTTTCACCTGGTGTAGTTCTGTCCTCATGGGTGTGTTCATTGACCCTGGAACAAAGATCCTGACAATAACACACATCTACACCTTATCTTCACTGATCACATGGTACAACTGCACAATCACTGGGCCAGTTGAAAACTTTCATAAATTTCTGATTGTTAACAATTCTTAAACATGTCTGGAAACATACTTTTGACATTGGCAATGTTGTGTTTCTCAAGTTGGTTAATTCAGTATAATTAATAATGGTCTTGTCAAAGTATTCTCAAAACCAGTCTTCTTTCAATGCCAGTTATACAGAGAATCTCACCCAAGTGCCTTCAGAGATATATCTAGACAAGCTGATAAAAGACAAGCTGATAAAAGTTACAAATATTTGAGGCTTGTCGAGGATAATAAATTTTTATCAACAAGTCTATATATATTTGAGCTTGGAACACACGAGGGTGAGATCTGTTTATCATCCGAAATCATTTGTCCAACTTTTTTGGTGTGTAAAGAGTAATATACAGTGTTTTGAGTGTAAGAGTACAACTACAGCTTCAGTGGCAAAGAGATTAATGATGTCAATTGATTGTGACGTCATGGTAATTGATCATGTCACAATCGACTGCAAAGCATTGTGATGCAATTAACTGTAGTTGCTTGTTCTCACACAAGCCATATCTGGGGGTATCAGTGGCCCAGTCGTTGAGATGCTGCAATTCACAGATGGATGCAATGGCAGTGGGTTCTCATCACGGTTCCACCTGATGTTTGACCCCATGTTTCCAGGTTTGTCAGCACCATACCCGTGCTCGTGGGTTTCACCAAAGTGGTAAATGTCCGAGACCTGCATCATTTCGGGCTATCCTCCCACACTAAGCTGACAAACCGTGTAGCACCCGAAAAAATGTTCAAAGCAGCGTTAAACCCATCTCACTCACTTACTCAGCCGAGCCATATCTCATGTGGAAGCCAGTTATAGATGATAAATTACATACATATTATGAAAACTGAATCCTCAGACATCATTTATATGTGGTAATAATTAATTGGCACTATTTAAGCATGGTAATATTGAGGATTCATCCCTATTGTTTGGACTGATGCGAGGCTGATACCAAGATCCACCCTTCAGCCGAGGACTTCCGACTCACCAGGCAGCAGTGAAGAGAAGGTCTGTTCTGTCACACGGCCGCCCTGCATGGCATCACTCAATACATCCCGGATCTGCAATAGCAGAATGTGACACTTTAACACCATCAGATCAATGATGTAAAGCTAACGTTTGAAAGATGATAACCATGTGTTATATATAATGACCAGGTTTGTCTTCCTGAGACATAACTGAACGTAACATGGATGTGATAACACATTGTTCACCTTCTTGTCAGCAGCCCCAGTGAGGAGAGCATAGTAGAATCTGGCCTTGTCCTGAACGTCAATGTCCAAGAAGTGTCGCATGGTTTCATGGAGCAGGTCGCCAAGTTCTGTGGAGATGCAAGATGGTCATAGGACTTACACAATATTGTTAGAATATCTGCAATGAAGAAACTGATTTTCTGATTTCAACAAAATGTGAGGTTCAGGGAGCTGGGTTTCACCATCTTCCCGAGGCATGGGATTTAACTGACTATAAATGTCCAGTTTCCACCTTTCCCCAACTAGGCTGGAATAATGGAGTCATATTTTGGCTGGACTAACGAATCTATGCATAGTCAGATCCAAATCGCGTAAAGAAATTGACATCTGGTTTGTCAACTGCCGTGCAATTCTCAGCAGTTTGCAGGATTTTACAAAGAATGTATACCGTCAATTTATATTTGCCTGCCCTTTAATACGGGTACTGAGTGGTAATATAAATATATTACCCGTGAAGATTCCTTCTGTGGGATGGTTCAGCAGTACACTTCTAACAACAGCCAGTATAGCATTGCCAAGGTGCCAGCTGCACTGGTCCAAACTAACAGCCCGCTCCGCCACAGACAGGAGGTACGTCATTGTAGGCTGCAGAGGAAACAGCTGATTAAGAAAACATGTCAAACTATGTCCTTGTCAGAAAGAAAGTTTCAACTGCTGTCAATCATACTAGAATCTTTTGATGCAGCCCTTATGTAATCAGCATATACCTTATTTCAGGCATTCTTAAAATTAGAACAAAAATGCTGTTTTATGAGCTCTAAACAGTACTTTCACTACAAAATTGGACTAACATGAAAAAAAACACCATAATTCTTTCAAACAGGTCTTAAAATAATACTGTCAATATGAATTTTTCCTGCTCATTTCTTTTCTTTTGCGTCGACACCATAAAGGGAGACAATTATTTCCCCCATTTGCTCATGTAGCTGTTGTTACAGTTTATTGTGTTTAAACATATTCAGTTATAAGTTATCTTAAACATGTTAAATGAAAGTACTTACAAGTGGGCTGATATCTGCCTCTTTAGCTGATGTCTTCAGGACAAGGAGGTAGAACTGAAACTGTCTGAGAACATCTTCGGCAGGCGATGACAGTACTTGCTTGTGTAGGGAGGACAGGATATTCAAGTACACCACACTGGAAAGACAAACATTCAACATGACGTACAACTCAAAAACAGTTGATTATGGGATTCCATTTCCAAACTATCTCATTCTCAGAACAGCTAGGCAAAACCCAGTTCTCAATGTGGGGGCAACTTTCTGTTTTGATGCTAAATGCACATTACTATTAGGAATATTTATGATGCATAACAGATAAATCTGACTGACCACATAGGAACTTGGAAATCTCTTTATCTTCCATATGAAGAAAATCTGCATTTGTAATAGAAATAGGTAACTTATATGTAACTACAAAATAGAGAACATGGTACAATAGTTTACCCGGTACTCTAACCAAAGAATTTTGAACTTAGATATTTTGCCGATTGCAGACTTGTGACTCTCATAAGACTATGTTAAAGAATGCATATAGGTGTTTGTAGTGTCACAATCACTCTGGACCTTTTACTTCCAAATACATGTCTGCATTAAGTCAATCATAACTCCATAGACTTACAACAGTCCTAGTCAAGGGCCAATCCAGCATCTTTAAAAGGGAGGGGTCCAAAATATCAAAATCGTCTCTCAGTCAAGTTTACTGCCAACAACATACTACATTTGGTTTTCAAAAGAGGGAGGGGGGTGTTGACTCCCTGGATTCCCTCTGGATCGGCCTAGGCTAGTGATGGCTTTGTTGAGTGGAAGATTAGTACGATGGGACTAAGCTTCACAAATAACCATAAAGCAAATACTTTTTTCCTTTAAACAGTTGTTAAGAAAGTCCAATGTTATGTGACAGTGTGACATACGTGTCTGCAGCCTGGTCTCGCACACACTGCAGGAAGTTAAGCACCAGGGGGATCAGCCTCGGGTAGCTGCTCAGTACTGTCTGGCAGATTCTGAAATATAGCAGGTTTTATTCAACATTAGCAAGGAGCGTCAGAGTGGCTCACTTGTCATGCCAAAGGTCTTGGTTCGATTCCTGTAATGGGAACAATGTGTGAAGCCCATGTCTGGTATCCCAATCCATGAGTGAGTGAGTATGGTTTTAAGCCGCTTTTAGCAATATTCCAGCAATATCACGGCGGGGGACACCAGAAATGGGCTTCACACATTGTACCCATGTCGGGAATCGAACCCTGGTCTTCGGCATAAAATAAGGCTTTGCTTTCACTCAACGATGAGGGTGGTTATGCCAACCACTTGAGGAATGGTAGAACCAATGAGTAAATAGGTTTTGGGAATACAAAAACTCTGCACTATTTCAACCCTACAAAGTTGCAGCATTATAGGCCTGGTGACATAAGAGTGATTTTAAACTTTTGCACAACGAAAAACATGCCATGACATAAACTCAATACTTTAATTAAGGAGAGTAAAACTAGTTAAAAATAGCGCCATTGTAGTTCACCTGGATAAGTCAACAGTCTCAAATGTCACAAGAGAGAAATTTTGAGATAATTTAAGAGCATTACCATACATTTTGTGCAGAAGTGGCTGAGCAGCAGCTTTAAAGAGGTTTTTCAATATTGATTACTGTTGGAACTTCTTGAACAAATTCACGTTTGAACAAGCATATGATTGTTCAGCTCCATTGGTTAACTTGCTTCTGAGGAGATGCATTCTGAGGGAATTTATGAGTATGGTTAAATTCCCATGGTCAAATAAAAGTCAAAATTACATATACAGAACATATGTGTTGAGGCCCACTGCCAATGATACACACACCACATTTCATGACAGTCTGAAACAAATGTTAGATTAACAGCAATGAGAAGTTCCAGCTTGCAGTATGGTTAAAGTGCAAAGGTCCAATCAAGGGAAAACTTTAAAATATCGAAAAAAGGGATCATATATTATTATGTTGAGCCCCACTGCTAACTACTCACATACCAAATTTCATTACAGTTAGAACGAAAATGTCCTAGTAATGGTTATGAATAGTATTTTCAATATGGCTGCCCTGTTGGTCATATATAAAATTGGGTTAAAACCTCAAGAGAAACTTGGGGTGTCATCATTGGTGAAGTTTCAGTTTCATTCATCCAGTGGTTTCTGAGGAGAAATATTTACAAAACACAGACAAAGAAGAAACAAGCCACGACATGAGCTCACTTGACTTTCAGTCAGGTGAGCTAAATATCATTTAACTTCTAAAACATTGTAGAGGTATGTCAAACTTTGTTTGGGTTGCATTCCATAAACAAAATCTGTACTGCATATCAATTAAATAGATGTTTTCATTGAAAGTTGTGAATATAATGGATTTGAATAAAACCAACTGCACATACAACATTGAATGTCTGAGTCTGAGCATTCTTTTTTGGGAAATTAAATTTCGTAAAGCTCAGTCATGTGCTTAGTAGTAAAAATTATTAAAAAGATTGCTTAAGGATGCTAGTGGACAAGAAAATAAAACAGTAACCATCTAACTTTAAAGTGAGAGAGAAAGAATATATTCATTAAAATTTCACATATATGCAAGTTTAAGAAACAGAGTACCTACTTGATAATGTTTGTGGCTATATCCTGTGAGCAGTGTTTGGCCTGGATGTTGTAGAGACAGCGGTATAGTGAGACAGCCACCTTGTGTTCACCAGTACAAACAGTCAACTTCTTTAAGTAAGTGAGGCTAGACAGCAGGAGGGACAGCTCCTCGGAACCTGACAGTGTAACAAGGTCTCACAGACTTACATGGGCACAGGATTAAATTATCCTTACTTTGAAATCCCTGAGGAATCAGAAGATGTCAAAGAAAAGCATTGATTTATTCAATGGTGGTAAATAAAGAAGCCACTCCGGGGCAAGTGAGATATGAGCAGTTATCAACAAATTGCCTGTCTCAGTCTTCTGCCGAAGCGTAATATCCCATAGGGAGCCTGACATCTGACAGCGGCAAAACAATGAATAACACATGAAGGGATATGTGCATATTAGGCAAGACAGCTCAAGATGAGAAACAGTGACTGGACAGAAAAAGGTTACAAATATTTTACAGATAAGGTTCAAACTTTTGTCACTTCCCTGGAACAAAACCAAAAGCCAGCTCTTATGTATTACATGTACTTGATTTACAAATTTTGATTAACAAGAGTTTTGATTGAAACAAAATACAAATTAAACACTTAAACCTCTTGACCAGTAAGTTGAAATACAGAAAACAAGTCAAAGGGTTCCTCCTGTTCCTATTTAGTTTAATTTTAAAAGAAAACAGAAGAATGTTTTTTAATTTTATTCCAAATTTGTGAAATCCCGGGGTGAGCTGTGAATGAAGAACGGTAGAAAGGCTCTGTAGCTCATTGAATTATGGTGTCATATAAGGCGGACTGGAATAATGTGTGAAGTCTTAGAAACACCAGAGCTGAAATCATTCATACAAAGTTTAGCAATGTGGGCCTTGTAGTGTCAGAGATGAACAAATTGTAAAAGCTAACACTGGACGAACTACTGGTTGGGCAACTGGAGGATAGACAACTCACCACAACATAAGCTCACTTGACCTTCAGTCAAGAAGTTCAAACACAAAAATACTGATGAACATCCCCACTTGCCTGTTACAATTTGAAAAGATGTCAAAGGCTCTGTGATTATTTTCTCCTATCATGTATATGAATTGCTGTGGTGAACAGCAGTGTATACCTGTGTCTGCCTGAAGTTGGGTGCAGATGTTCAGGGCGGTCACCTTCCCAACATGGAGGTCGACTGAGTCAAATACTGACGGTAGCAGCCTCCACGACAGCTTTTCTCTCACGTGACCCATAACAGTGCTGTCTTCCTCATCCTCCAGCTGCAAGGGACCAACCACATACAACACTTGTTAGTCCAAGGAATGTTCTTATCCAGGATACATGGATATCTTGGCATCTGTCAACAATTAATATTTTACAGGAATCCAACTTCTATATAACTTCTATACAACTTTCCAAGCAGAAACTTGATACATTGTTGAAAATAGTTGGGACATATGCCCACCTTATTGAGAATGCTAGTTGGGTTGAAAACATTTGAATTTTCAGAATATAACAGCCATTTATATATCAATAACAAGGTGTACATGTGAGTGAGTGAGTGAGTGAGTGAGTGGGTGTGTGTGGGTGTGTGTGGGTGTGGGTAGGGGTGTGGGGGAAGAGAGAATCAGGGGGTGACATAAAATATGACAGTCTCCAGGGGAGTGACATTTTATAATAAAACATGAAGTATTTTTTAGAGAGAGTGAGTGAGTGAGTGAGTGAGTGAGTGAGTGAGTGAGTGAGTGTGTGTGTGTGTGAGTGTGTGTGTGTGTGTGTGTGTGTGTGTGTGTGTGTGTGTGTGTGTGTGTGTGTGTGTGTGTGGGTGGGTGGGTGGGTGTGGGTGTGGGTAGGGGTGTGGGGGAAGAGAGAATCAGGGGGTGACATAAAATATGACAGTCTCCAGGGGAGTGACATTTTATAATAAAACATGAAGTATTTTTTAATGGGGAGGGTCATCCAAAGTATGACAAGCACTAGTGAAGGGTCATTATTTACAGCACACTAGTGCGTCAAAAAACTCTGACATTCTCATTACTTTGGGGTTTAATTTCATGACAATAGTATATCATATAAAGGCTTTATCCTGTTACACAGTCAATCCCAAAGGATCTTTTAAGAAACTCTTCTGTAGGAAATCCTACCAGGCAGTATCCTTTCAACCACTGAAGAAATATGAGCCTGTGGGCAGGGCTTATGGATTTTTGATTGACAGCTGTCACTAGCCTTGTCATCAGTAATTTCTCCTCAGATGATGTCAGGATCTCCCCTGAGTACTCTCTCTGAAACACATATCACAGCCAACATCAAAACAATAAAACAATCAAAGTGACACAAATAAAATTATTCAACAAATGATTAACTGTCAATCTGACAAGGCGACATCTATTTCAATTTAGTCAATGTCAATGTCAATGTCACATGGACAATTATTCATAAGTGTCTTAATTTGAGTAGATTCTTGTAAAATTTTCCCATTCGGAATATTCTATGGTAATACGTTACCACTTGTTATATGGAGGCTGTTGTCTCCCACAACTGCTCTTATAGCAAAATCTACGACAGAGATCTCAATTACCTCATGCAGCACATGCGTAGCCACCTCAGCTGCCATGTGACACCCTTCACTCTTGTCTCTAGCGAGAGCAAGTGCTCAGGGGACGGTCGGGGGGGCAGCAGCCAAAGTGGTAACATATTACTATAGAATATTCCGAATAGGAAAATTCTACAAATTACATTAAGTTATATGTTACCACTTGTTATACTGAGGCTGATTACCACAGTAGGCGGTTGGGAGCACCTACAACCCGAACCTGACTGCTCGTGTTCCTTCCGACCAGCGGAAGTAAACAACAAGGCGGAAGCACTCAATGCGCATGCTCCCAACTTGCGTTACCCTATAGGAATACCAAAGCACTGTCAAGTGCATACCATAAGGCTCAATCGTCTTTGGTGACTCCAAACGGCCTCACTGGATAGTTATTTCATCGCCGCAGCGGAGGAGAACACAGTATCCGTGTGAGCTAAATCTTAGATCAGGTTAAACAGTCGGAAAGAGGGAAATTAATTTTATTCGGACCGTATATCCCAGAGCAAGCCTACTTCAAGTATGCATTAGGTGCGTGACCTAATTCCAGTATTTGTAAGCATGCATTACAAGGTTGGAATACACGACAGACAATTAAATACATTATTGTCAAAATACAAATAAGGACAAAACACACAAAAAGCGGCCCTCACCTGTGGTGTGGATGCGCTGGTTTGCGGGACCCCCACTCCTGTACCCACGGCAGTTGGAACATTGGAGTCGACCCTGATTGACCACCGTGTAAGGTCTGACGCCTGAGGAGTTCGGAATTGCGCTGGGCATACCCCTTAGATGACCTCTTGTGCCGCGACCAGCGGGCCAAGACGGTGCACACCCTCCACGTCTTCATCTGAAACCTTTCTGAGGTAATGATTGGCAAAAACCAAAGTAGAACACCAGTAACAACCTCTCAATATTCTGTGAACAGAGATATTGGAGTGTAGGAGTGTAGTAGCCAATGACTGTGGGTTCCCCCCAGTTTGTTGACATAAGACGCTACCGTCGTGTTGTCAGTCGCCAGCATGAGCCGGGCTTCGATGAGACGATGTTTCCACTGATTGACTGTGTTGATCACTGCCTTGAACTCGAGGCAATTGATGTGAAGACCTAGTTCGTCTGCGCACCACAGCCCCGAGCTCTCCTCCCCCTGGAAGGGCCGCATAGAGACTCCTGATAAGACGTTGCAAGGGACCGTCCACCACTCCAGATGCGGTTGGAGCCGATCTGGGAGGGCGACGGACACACTGTTCTCCTCCTTTGCTAACAACTGGATTAGAAACTGTCGCAGCGGGCGGAGTTAGAGACGACCCTGTTCGGTGCAGTCCTGGGCTGACACAAGTAGCCCTAACAGCTGTTCCCAAAAGTGAACCGTCTGTTGCACCGCTAAGACTTTGGCAATCATCACCTGAATCTTGTGCCACCGGTCTGGGGGGACAAAGAGGCGATGGGTCACCTTGTCGAACCGACCTCCGATGAACTTCAAGTTCTGTGAGGGGGTTAACTTGCTCTTGGGGAGATTGACAATCCACCCCAATTGCTCCAAGAGCTAAAGCGCGAAATCGAATTGACGAGACAGCACATCCGTCATCCGATTTGCCACTAGCGAGTCATCCAGGTACGCAAAGTACCTGACGCCCCTCTTGTGGAGGAACCCCACTATGGGGGTGGTTAACCGGGTGAACAGCCAGGGAGCGGACGATAGGCCGAATGGGAGTGCTACCCACTTGTTATGCCTGCCTTGAAAGACAAACCGGAGATACTTGTGATGGTCTGGATGGATCGGAACATGCAGATAAGCATCCTTCAGGTCGATCGAATCAAGCCAGTAGGTGGGCATGATCAGAGCTTTCAGGTCCGCCAAGGTCAACATTCTGAACTTGGTCGGCTTGTGCAGGTAAAACTCGTTGAATGACTTCAGATTGTGACTTCAGATCATTCTGAGTTCGGCACTGTCCTTCTTGGGAACGAGAAATATCCTTGAGTAAAACCCCGGTGTTATTTCTGGTAGGGCTAACTGCCGTTCCGCCCTCTTTTCCACCAACCTGCCGATGGCATCGGCCAGGATGGGAAGATCGGTTTCCGAACAGAAACCTTCCAACGGGGCAACGGTGAGCGGCGGATAGGCTTTGAGATCTAGCCGATAGCCGTACCGGATCGTGTTGACCACCCACGGGTCGTCGAACACTTGTTTCCATTTCTCCCAGTAAGTCTGGACTCTGCCGGTGCGAAGGCTTTCTCCAAGGAAGGCTTGATCCCGCGCAGCAAGGTTGATGCGGGGAAAGCCTTGTCGGAAGACTCCTCAAATACCTCGTCGGAAGACTCCTCAAATACCTCGGCGGAACCCACAGAGCCGTGGATTCCCATGGTACAGGCATGTTCTCAAAGAGGTCATATACCATAGCCACGCAGTCCTCAACCGATAGCGGGAGCAACGGTTCGGGGGAAGGACCGGTGACCCCGGAAGCCGCCGCTGTACTGGTGGACCCCGCATCCGAACCCATGTCCACCGAAGAGGCCGGGGACGGAACAGCCAGCGGCCTATCCTGAAATAAGGCTGCAAGCTTGGAGTCCACAAGTTGAGAAAGAAATGCTGTGACGGAATCCCGGGACAGCCCAAGGGCCGCAAAGGGATCCGCCGCAGCCGTGGACCCCGACCGGACACCACAGGGGTGGAAACAGCGTGGCCTGCAGCGCTCGAATGCCTCAGGCCCCAGACCCTCGCACAGGGTGCACCAGGTGTCCCCGCAAGGAACCCTGCACCGATTGTGGGGATCCCGAGAAGAGAGGAATTTACGGCACGCCCCGCAACTCCTGGTTGCAGGGGTAGAGGGGGTAGAGGGGGTGGAGGAAGGCGAGACTTCCATGTCCAACATTGTTTACTATGAACAAAGAGTAAGACATGGTTACAACACACACACCACAAATATTCACAAACGAACATTTTCACAAGAAAATAAACGAGCATTGTGAATATAGAACCTACACATATAGCATATAGAGAAATAGGTGATGTAAACCCCCAAAACATACTATAACAGGGGAACGTAAGACACAACATGCATATGAGACACCCCGCAAGTATATAGAAAAAATGGCGGGAAAAAAAGTGTAGTTACAGCAAACGCCCCGAATACACAGTTTATATGAGTCAATAAACAGTAATAAATATCACCAAAGGTTGGAGAAACAGCTGGAGCAAGCGAAGAGACAAGAGTGAAAGGTGTCACATGGCAGCTGAGGTGGCTACACACGTGCTGCATGAGGTAATTGAGATCTCTGTGGTAGATTTCGCAATTAGAGCAGTTGTGGGAGACAACAGCCTCCACATAACAAGTTGTAACGTATTACTTAATGTATTTCATCTGTATAAGTATTGCTAAAATAATTTGAAGGATTGAAACGGACGAGTCTCACCTGTAGATAGAGAACAATGTGCATAAGGCAAGGGTCCTGAGTGGCCATATGGTGAAGCATTAGAGGTTTAAAAATCTGAAAACATAAATGATACATGATAATCTTACATTTGACATATCTAACAAGGACTGTAAACATAGAGCCACATGGCTCTGAAGCTCACCTGTATTATGGAGAAATAATGGTGGCCATGTTTTAATTTGGGATCGCTCATACAAAATTTCAGCTCCATAGGCCTTGTATTTTTAGATGTCAAAAATGCAGAAGTTAACTAAGAACGGGCAATGTGCCATGACATAAGTTCATTTGATTTTCATTTAAGAAATAAGTGATAAGTAGGAGTTGTTTATCCTAAATAGAACACTACAGGGGGAATAAACCATGAGGGGTGCACGCAGCTCAGTTTACTTCTTATTTAAGATATCAATATTATTTACAGCCTCTTTAAGGATGTCAGGAAAACATATATGTAAAAGGTAAAACGCAGTGTCGGACAATTCCATTTTATGAACAGGGAGGCTAAGTATTTCACGGATATTCTCACAATTTTCAAGGCGATAGTATGTACCCAGCTACATCCATGGGGAACAACTCACCAGACACTACCCCCTCAAAAATAACCTTGGCCAATTCATTGTTTTTTGCGATTAATCGCATCTAATATATGTTCATACATATCAAAATTGAACAGGGTCATCATTTTCAGTTGAACTAGACACATTGACCATATCTGTCATCATATTCATGAATGCTAAATTTAATTTTGAAGTGACATTTGTATAAGTCTGTATCGTTTCTTTTAGTGAATTCATTGTAGAATGTACATATTATCCTATTGCTGAATGTTGATGTTATATAATACAGTGTTTCCCTACAAGGCCGTCAAAGCTGACATACTGTTGGTGAGATGCCGGGAGAGTGCTGTACAATGCCAGACAGTGAGGCAAGGATGTCCCACAGCCCTGCCGGGGTGAAGATGGTGCTGTGGTCCATGATGAAGGAGACAGCTGACAGCGTGTCACCAGGGCCACCTGAAACAGACACCATCCTCTCCATGCTGGCCTGAAACAGACATGCGAAATAGACATGAACATACCTGTCAATCATATCTATAACAGGGTTCGTGAAATAAAAACAATGTCAGGTAGTCAATGAGACCTGTGCTACAGCAAAATCACTGAAGCTGAAGAGTGAGTGAGTGAGTGAGTGAGTGAGTGAGTGAGTGAGTGAGTGAGTGAGTGAGTGAGTGAGTGAGTGAGTGAGTGAGTGAGTGAGTGAGTGAGTGAGTGAGTGAGTGATAAGGGTTCAATGCCGCTTTGCGCAGTACAATGTAATAGTTTTATCCCAGTGTGTCAGCTTAATGTGGGAGAAACCCCGAAGTGATGTAGGAGTTTACAACTTTGGCGCTACCAAACCTAGAAACATAATCGGGGCGAAAAAGGATTTGAACCCACAATCATAGGTTTCAAACATACCCAAGTGACGCAACTCCGCACAGCTAAATGCAGTGCCTTAAATGACTGGGTCCCCTTATGCTGAAGAATATACTGTTAGACAAATAAAAAGAGTAGTATTTCACACATATAAACTGATATACGCTGCCTTTCATTCTGTAAAACCATATTACACACGTTTGGTGACTAACAATTCATGTTTTCAATTATCCATTTGGACAATCACAATGTAAAAAAAGTATGGGACTGATTGATGACTACTTGTATTTGACTAGTGGACCCTTGTATTGGTCAAAACATGTATACCGGATAATGATCTGTTGAATAGTTCAGGGACTCATAAAATATTTGGGTTTTTGTGTGTGTGAAACTCATGGTTTAAATTTAATAATACTGATAGTTATATACCGGAGAGGAGATTTCAGCTTGATTTACTGTGCTGTAACAGTTTGAAAGAACCTTACCCTCTGACTAGTATCTGGGGTAATAGGACTTTCAGGTACACCAATATCACTGAAAATATAAGAAAAATTAATAGAAAAATGTTCAAAATTATTTTTGTGTGGCCAGCAATGTCCAGATTTAGGTCTACTCATTAAGATTGTGTGCAACTGTGTACTATAACATAGGCTCACTGAGAACCTGGATACAATCAACGTATTCCACAGAACATTCTTGTGAACCGAATTCAAAATCTTTTGTATTCAATGTCTGCTAAATATAAAATTAGTTTCAAAATGATATGAGGGGCGGTCGGGTAACCTAGTGGTTAAAGCGTTGGCTCGTCACACCGAAGACCTGGGTTCAATTCCCGACATGGGTACAATGTGTAAAGCCCATTTCTGGTGTCCCCCGCCGTGATATTGCTGGAATATTGCTAAAAGTGGCGTAAAACCATACTCACTCACTCAAAATGATATGAAGTTAGAGAAGATGATTTTAACATGATTTTCATAACATATAGGGCTTTTCTAACATGACTTGGTTTGCAGATATTTTCATGAAAAACCTTTGGGAGAATTGAGAACATAATTGAAAACAATTGAACAAAATTATTTCATGTTTTCTGAAATTCTCATCAGTCAGGTCAAATAAGGTCCTACTTTGAATTCAATTCCAACGTTTGTTAAACTTTGTATACAAATAAAAGCTAGGGTTTATAATCATTTAGACAATATGTCAATATCCAATTACACCATCATATCACTACCCCTACATAGAGATGAGTCACACACCCTGCCACATGGTAGAGCACAGTTGTTAGGAGTGTCACATAGTCCTGACACACATCGGACCGGTCCTGCTTCACTGCCTGAACAAGTCGATCTCGCCACCGCCACATCACACCCTGAAAAAACATTTGCTATAACCTCAAACATTTCTCTAGACAACAGCATAGGACAAAACTGGAATGGAGTGATACTTAAAAACAAACAGAGACCTTGTTTCTGTAATGGTTGGGTTAAACCATCCTTGAATTACTGTTGATTCTCCAAAATCTAATCTTCAATTTCTGCAAGGCAGACATTGTAGTTAATCATGATGTGATCATAATTTAAGACATGTGCGAGTTGGGGGAAGAGACGGTATGGCATTGAGGTTTGCTCCTGTAGTACTTGAAAATTGGGACCCCCTTAATCTTTAACTTTTAGTGCAATGACAAGGACCCTGTAACTTTCATGCTAAATATGAGACACTGCACATATTTAGCATATGGCTTCGCCAATATTTTAGTTTTAATTATTTGTGGTACAGCGGTTATACTGGTACCCCCATTTTCATGACTACCACGCCCATAAAGCATGACCGTGAGACCCCAGGACTCAAGTCGAAGAGCCCAGGTAAATAAATGATTTCTACTTTGGCTCCTCACCGGTGAGGTCAGCTCCAGCTGAACCATACACTGACATGCCACAGCCCTCAGTCTCCTGTTGCCGACATCATTCACTCTGGCAGCTATACTCCACAGGATTTCTATCAGTGATGCAGCTGGATCAGTTGGCTGAAATCATATAAGTATTATTAGTTGTTTTGAACACCTTCTAACAAAATAAAGGCATCAAATTTATCATACGACAATTATCAAAGGTGTTGTTTGATATTACTTTCAATAATTGGAAAATGTACTTCCAAATTTATATCATTTATACTAAATGTTTTATTCCAGTGCTAAATCATCATGACAGATTCAATTCAATAAATGAAATCTTACAATATTCTCACTGCTGACTAATAACGTTGTCACAGTGATGAGAAGCTGTGTGAGAAAGTTGGTGCTGTCATCTCGACTCTCATATTGACGGAAGATGCCAAACAGATTGGAAGCAACCTCATCTATACTGAAAACATGGTAAAAGGCATAATAATTACAAACAATTAGCCATCATGCATAAGCATCATTATGATCATGATATTTTAGTGAATTAACATCCAAGGGAAACATTTTCATTTAACAGTTTCAAAACTTATGGGGACTCACTTTTGGTCTAGATTTAGGCATTGTCATTAGTTGTTTGTGTCAAACTGAGATATTGACTGTAGTGTATGTGTTTAGGGTAATCAACAATAAGAGCAATGTACATTATTTAAGTCTAAGTCAAAGTTGTTGCCATGGAAACTTGAAAATATATTTTTTTAAATCCCAAACTATCACAAGGCACCACTTCACCACTAGACCTATCTATGTGCCAAATTTAGTTAAGATATCTCTCATGATTTTTGTGTTCTGCTCCGGAAATGAAATGTGACTGACGGAATGACAGACGGACAGCACCCATTCCTATATCCCCCTTCCACTTAATGGAGGGGATAATAAAATTTGAGCTCACAGACAAAGTTGGTTCTGAATGACTATAATCAAAACAATTTGAAATATGTCCCATATTTGTTAGGTCTCTCATCGGTCTGTGTCTAGTTTCCCACTGGCCCTTGTCTAGTCTTGATTGGCCTCTACATTTCCATCGACCCATTTCCATAGTAAATTAGGGTATTATGTGATGCACAAATATGCATCCAGTATGCACAAAATTTGAGACTGGGCACTGAAATACAATATACTGTGTCCAGAGGGACACACAATAATATTCATTGTACCTACCGCACACCAAGAGCTGTAATTATAGAAACACCCAGTACACTACACTATTTCATTACTTTACAGGACCCTCATAATGCCTGCAAGGACCCTAAAACTAATTGTTGTATAATGTTTCTTCTTTTGTAATTGTTTGTCTTATTTGCAGTGGTGTATAAGAGTTGAGTAGGGGGTATATGGGGGTTTCATCCCTTCCAAATGTAATGTTGGATATCATGGGTTAGCATTTGTAGTTACAGAGACCATGTATATGCTTCCAGTTATCAATGCAACATGAGGAAGGGTACCGTGGCAACACACAAGTCTCCCAATTCACTAATCACCTCTTTGCGTCCAGAACATCACCCCCACAATCTTCAAGCACCCTCAGGAATTCTGTTTTTATTCCAATATCCACTGCATCTTCCACCATCAACTGTGAAGACATAACCAGTGTAGCTGCATTGCATTTTAATCTACAATTTACACTGCCATCCGCAGTGTCTATACTGATAATCAAATTATAGTCTGTGGGTTCCGGCTCTGTGTGTAGCAGTTTCCAATGAAGGTCTATCCTAAAATATGCTGAATCAAACAATTTGACCTGAGTTCTGCTAACCTGACACAGCAACATAGAGAATTTCCTTCATACGCAATTTGTACATATCTTTTGAATAATCGTGAACTTTGTTCAAAACTTCATAATCATGCAAAAAGACCTGACACTGGCATTGATAAAGACCTGACACTAATGTGACAAAATAGACCGTATTAAAAACAGCAATGATCAGCTGACACTGCTGGTCGTTATAAGGAGGTGGAACTCGGCGAGGGCCCGAGAAATACTGAATAAGAAGTTTCCAAGACGATTTATCCCAAACTCTCACTTTAAGCATTTGAAAAACAAAGTTTTCATCTTCAATCAACTTTTCAGTCGTTCCCTGTGCAACATGCTGTCTGATACTGGCGACTATTTGCCTGATATCGCCCAAAGCAGACGAGGAAATACGACTAGCAGACATCTTCAGCGTGAAGGTATGGAAGTAACAAGGGAGCAGTCATTGTGTTATACTTTGGGGAGTAATCATTGTCTAAAACTACAATGTACATGACAAGTTAGCTTAATAATCTCAATGATCTCAGGGAAACCAACAATTACATTTTGATTTCAGTGTTTTACCAGTTACATTCACAAATTATACGATTCCCGGATTTCCATAATGGTTGGTGTGCAAGGTTAAATCATCTGTAAGTTACATGTTGTCAAATCAAACATAACGATAGTAAATTTAACCCATCATTAGAATGCTTTGGACGTAGGGTTCGTGTTTGTGGGCATTCTTTAAGACGTATGTGGCAATGGCAGTCGATATTACCTTCCCCTGGACAAAAACAAGTACGTTCCATCATACACAATCAAGGTGTTTTGGGCGGGGAATGTGTTTTGATAAATGGGTTTTTGCCTATCCTCAAAACAAAGTAACCAGACATCTTTAACTGAACATATTCTGAATAGAGAAATAAACATTGATGTAGACATAAATAAACATTGAATTAAACGAAAATAATCACGACAGACAACGTTTAAAATAGCACAAAAATCAGACATTGTAATCACAATATAAGGGAATACATACCCAATGGGGAAACATTATTTTCTAACTATCTGAATACCTGTCTTTGTAAAATAACTATTTACATAGAGAGTGGGTATTTTAATCATGGAAATGTCTGATTATGTTGGATATAGCTGCGTGTCAGTTACCCATGTTATAAATAGTGATTATTTAGGCTGCCATATAAACATGCACTGTTGTCCCGTCAGTCCCACAGAGAGACAATTTGCGAAGAACCGCCACTCGTATGTGTTCCCGCAGCGATATAGCTGTAATATTGCTAATATTTCCCCTCACTTTCGAGGCGCGGATAATGCTTTTATGAAAAGAAGTGATTCTTTTTATGATTCATTTTATAATCGCAAGGTAACATATACAGTTGCCGCCAAGCAGTTTCCGTTTGGTGGTCGTATCATTATATTTGTAAATAGAATGTATGTGAGAAAGATAGTGTATGCCTATTAAATATAAACAAATATTATTACTCACTGGATATGCACACACACACAACACACACACACACACACACACACACACACACACACACACACACACACACACACACACACACACCTATATTAAAGTATATGGTCGGTAGGAGCGTTGGTTCGAAGATCCGGGATTGATTGGATACACTGGGATACATCGTGTGTTAAGGCCCAAGTGTTTTGGGTGGATTTAATATGCCGATGGAAAAATAGTATGCATTGTTAGATTGTGAATAGGTTATAATACATGGCTAACGGAAACTAAATTCAGGTGGGAAACTCACCCGACATTATCTGATTGTTAGAAGCCCGAGTATTTTGAGAAATCTTGTTTCGTGAATTTAGTATTAAACAGGTTTTTTCAATTCAATTCAATTTAATTCTTTATTGTATGAAAGCAACAGGCCCATATACAACGGAGTTACATAACATATTTTATAAGATACAAAGTCAAGGTAACAATTCACTTCGTAACACGTTTTGTACAAAGCCATTTGATTTTGTGTTAGAAGATCCTTGCAGGACAGTAATGAAGACAATGTTAGAGCATTAAAATGAGATAGAGATCACTGCGGTAAGTACTTGTTTCTTAGATTTTCGTATATAGGGCAAATAAACATAAAATGGTATTCATCTTCGACAACACTGTCACAGAATGGGCATAAACCTTAGGGATTTCTCAATAGATGAAAATCACGCTATGTTAATTTTTTGATCATTCAGGCCAAGTCTAAACCAAATAATGATGTTACGAAAATTCCTGTACCGTAAGTTTGATAAATAAGATTCCGGTTCAAGCAATGACTTGAAGTGGCGATACCTATCATATCTTGAACTTTCGTAAATATCTGAATGCCATTTCTGATGAAACATATCAATGGCACACATGCGAAAGTACTTAATGAAAACATTTGCGTTACCAATTGTCTGCGACAGCCGAATGAAACCAAAGCCATGTGTAAAAAGCAACGTTCGTATACAAGAAGCCCATGTGTTCTTTCCAAGACTATCGAGGTGTACAAGTATATTGTAGGCTTTCTTAGGTAAACGGTGTTCAGGCATAATTATTATTTTACACCAATACTTCAAACAACGAGTGTAAGATAAACTAGTGTCCAAAAGAAACGATACCAACTTATTTTCAAAATTGTTTTTTTACTAAGTGAATTGTCAAGTATGAAAACATGCCAATTCGTATTGCTCATCCCAAACACAGCATAGTCGATAAAAAATACCGGGAACACGTGATCACTTCCGGGAAAAAACGTAAATTTCGTGAAAGTGACATTTCCCTCTCTAGCATGTTCTGCACGTGCAGAAAAACTGACAGGTATAAAACGGCTGATCAGACACGTTGATATCACAGCAACAAAAAGAACACAAGATATGCCACGTTTGACAGCCATCGAGAGAGAGAGAGCCGTTGGAATGGTCCAACAAGGAGCGTCACACGTCGACGTCGCCAGAAAGTTGGGCTGCGCACGCATCACTATCACCAGGTTGATGCAGCGGTTACGTCAGACAGGTCAGATGTCAGACAGGCCCAGGAGTGGAAGACCACGAGTAACCACGCCCCGTGAAGATCGTTACATCCGGGTATTACACCTGAGGAACCGCACCGTAACAGCGACGTCCACGGCGGCTACAGCACTGGGACACAGGATCAGTCGACAGACCGTCTACAGGAGACTACGGCAGTATGGTATCCGGCCACGTCATCCCTACCGCGGACCGCTCCTGACGCCTCGACACCGGAACAACAGACTGATCTGGGCCAGGCGAGCTCGACGTTGGCAACGGCGGGACTGGGCACGTGTTATGTTCTCTGATGAGAGCAGATTCCTCATCTTCAGAAACGATGGACGGCAGCTTGTATACCGACGATTTGGTGAACGTTTGGCGCCTAACTGTATCCAACAGGTCCGACCGTTTGGAGGTGGAGGGTTAATGGTTTAGGGTGGCATATGTGGTGACGTCAAAACGATGCTTGTCGTAATTCGTGGAAACCTGAATGCACAGCGTTATCTTGATGACATCCTACGGCCTGTTGTGGTGCCCTTTATTCGGCAACAGCCTCGTGGACTCCTTTTCCAACGTGACAATGCAAAGCCACACAGCAAGATTGACACAGAACTTCCTTGCCAACGCCAACGTACAGGTTTTGCCATGGCCCGCATGTTCACCGGACATGGATCCCATCGAGCACTTATGGGACCACCTCGATCGGCAAATCCGACGTCGCCGTGTGCCTCCAGTCAACGTCCAGGACTTGGAACGATGTCTCCTCGAGGAATAGCAACGCATCACTCCCAACGTCATCAGACGTTTGACGTCATCAGTCCGTAGGCGTGTTCTGGCATGTATTGATGCTCACGGTGGACATACCCGCTACTGACTTGACTTTGAGACGTGTGGTGTGACATTTCCCGTTGTTTCTGTGATCAGTGCTCTAACGAAATGTTCATTTTTCGACCCCACCCATCTTTAAAGGCTTGTCATATTGGTTGTACAGATTTTATTGAAATAATTTTTTTGTACAGATGTTGTGAAAGGATTTCTCAAAAGCATAACACCAATCCTAAACTTCTGCATTGTTTAGTTTATCTTTTATGTCGTTGCAAACAGGTGGTATCGTTTCTTTTGGACACTAGTTTATAATGTACAATGGGATTCTCCCGCATTCTCCATAAACCATATTACTTGGTGTTGACATACCAACATTCAAAAACCTTTTACAAGCGAGGAGATGAACCTTTTCAAATGTATAGAACTCTTTACAACCCCATATCTTAGACCCATATAGTAAAACTGGTTGTATTTGAGAATCAATTAATTTAAGATACATTTTCGGTGAAATAACTCCAAGCTTAGAGATAACAGAGTGAAGTTGTAACAGAGCTTTCTTTGCTCTGTTTGTGAGATTAATTACAGACATATTCACATTCAGTGTATGGGTAAACAATATGCCAAGGTATTTGTATTCATTCACAACATTAATACATTAACCTTAAAACAACATTTCTCTCTTGCGGCCACTCGACCACTTCTACGAAATATAACAATATCTGTTTTATCAAGATTAACACTAAGTTTCCATTTATCTGAATATTGTTAAAGTATGTCAAGCTGCTTCTGTAGACCAATCATAGTACTAGACATCATCTGCAAAAAGTAGCATGAAAAGTTCTAATATGTCAGGGAAGAGCTGGACGCCATGTCTACCAGACTGCATGATATCAACATATAACTCATTTATAAAAAAATGTGATAGGTATGGGACTCAAAACACATCCTTGGCGTAAGCCTATCGGACAATAAAAAAAGTCACTTTTTGTATCACCATAGCGAACACATAATTTTACATCTGCATCCATTGATTTAACAATGGCAAGCATTTTGCCTCCTAAACCATTATTTTTGATGATAGCACGAGCTTAAAATACATAGTGGGTATATTGCAAAATCCCTTACCACTGCCAGAGTTCTTAAATTCAGCGATACCACTGGACAAGGGACAGGTCATGAAGGGGTAGACCACGTGTGACCACCCCACAGCAAAACCGCTTCCTGACTGGTACGTCATCGGCCTTGACGGGACTGGGGCGCGCATCAAGATGCAGTGTCAAGACGATTATATGCAGATGGAGAGATCACTTATTTTCTAGGATGCACTCAAGAGATTCACCCTTTTGGAGGCGGTGGCTTCGTGGCGTTGGGCGGGATTTATGGTGAAGGGAAGACACGTCTTGTCATCATCCGGGGAAATTTCACGCTGAACGTTACAGGAATATCTTTCTGCAGCCAGTTATTTCCCTTTCTCGGGAGATACTGTTCCAACAGAACAATGACAGGCCCCCACACTGCTCGAATATTCCAGGACTTGCACAACATCAATAACGCACCGGTGTTGCCCTGGCCGACATGCTCACCCGACCTCTCACCGGTGTTGCCCTGGCCGACATGCTCACCCGACCTCTCACCGGTGTTGCCCTGGCCGACATTCTCACCCGACCTCTCACCGGTGTTGCCCTGGCCGACATACTCACCCGACCTCTCACCGGTGTTGCCCTGGCCGACATACTCACCCGACCTCTCACCGGTGTTGCCCTGGCCGACATGCTCACCCGACCTCTCACCGGTGTTGCCCTGGCCGACATACTCACCCGACCTCTCACCGGTGTTGCCCTGGCCGACATGCTCACCCGACCTCTCACCGGTGTTGCCCTGGCCGACATACTCACCCGACCTCTCACCGGTGTTGCCCTGGCCGACATGCTCACCCGACCTCTCACCGGTGTTGCCCTGGCCGACATACTCACCCGACCTCTCACCGGTGTTGCCCTGGCCGACATACTCACCCGACCTCTCACCGGTGTTGCCCTGGCCGACATGCTCACCCGACCTCTCACCGGTGTTGCCCTGGCCGACATACTCACCCGACCTCTCACCGGTGTTGCCCTGGCCGACATGCTCACCTGACCTCTCACAGGTAGAACATGTCTAGGATCATCTTGGTCCACAGATGGACAACGCCCAAACCCGCCGAACAACGTACCGTGAAGATTCCGGGTTAGAATTGCTCTTCAGCAACTCAAGCTTGTCGTAACAGGCGACTAATGGACACAGACCCAATCTGACAAAAAGGTAACATCTGATGCAAAATTCATAACGTTTTCCCGTTTTCTCGATGGGATCGTTGGTTTTCGAAAGTACACAGTCCTATTAAAATGTTATTCCCAAATTATATATTTCCAACGGGGTCTCTGCAGCCCTGTACTATTACTTAAACGGATGATGTCTTAAATCAGTATTACGTCACGACAGAACAAAACGCTCAGCGAAACAGAACAATGTAGGATATTTCTTTAACCTATTTGAAGGAATCTCCAGTGTGAGCGACAGAATAATTTGTACAAGCATAGTTATCTTCTATACACCGTAACATTAAAACTTCCAGATTAATTGAACGTCAAAAATAAAGTTCTCGATTTGTAAATGCAATTTATATAGCATATACCAGTATCCGCGTTGATTTTATGGATCGGGTGGTCAGGTCGATGACATGGTTCAATGCGCTTCGTCCAGCCTGACAGCGCGGGATGTTGTACATAATAACAAACATCGGTGTGTCTGGCCAAGATTCGATTATTTACAGGCCGCCGTGATTTTGTTAGAAACTATCGCTGAGGACGGCGTAAAACAACAACAACTAAAGATAGATCGTAGAAGTGAGTCCGTGACGGAATGCGCTCTACTTCGCTATGTTTTTCATTGAGCCTGACCAGCGGATCCTGGCATCAAGAGGCCGTGGCAGCTTTACATCTCGGACCTCTGGCTCGCCGAGCCCTCTGTATCCTTCACATTACATCTCAAATTCCTTCTTTTAATATTTTTATATTTGTTGCATTCCATATCGTTTTTACAAACAGAAAAACACCATATGGCTTCAATGTTACAGAAAAATTAAATGATGACATGACATGATGACCAAAATTTATAAAATCTGTCTAAACTCCCACTCATAGTTGCTGTACATTTGGAGACGAAATACAACTGCTTGAGTTCATTCTGGAAGATCTGGAACGTATGAATATGCTTTGTATCTTTACGTGAGAAAATAACATTTTTGCAAAGAATAATTATAAGGTTTAATGGGTCATTATACTTCTGAATTGGTATCCAAGGAAAACATGTTGTTTGGTGATATTTACTTTGATATGATCGCTGGTACTTAGCCAAAGTTCCAGAGACGTCCAGATCATTTTTACTTTGGTGCAATCCCCAAACAAGTGTTCAGTCGTTTCTTTTTTGCAAACAAGTAGTTTGGTACTCAAACAAGTGGTTTCATTTAGGCAAAACAAGAGATTTTCAAAATTATATTTCTGCCGAGGGGAGTTAGGTGTCGAAGTGACCAAGCTGACATTAGTGCTTCAAAATGCGGTCAAAGGAACCTTGGATCGAGTTTAGTGTCCACTGTGGACATAGCTTAATTCTTGATTATTTGTTCACCCTATTCAAATAAGCCGTGTCTTATCAATGTTTACTTTTAGTCCTGAGAAGCGTGGATAAACATTAAGTACTTGTTGTACTGCGTGCAGACAGCGTTCAGATCCATCTAATAGACAAGTTGTATCGTCTGAAAACTGTTGTATGAGGAATTCGGCGTTCCCCAAATTTATTCCTTTTATATATGCATTATTTCTGATCATTATTCCTAGTATTTCGGCACACAGATGAATATATATGGTGAAATCGGATCTCCGGACAGCCCCTAAAGACACAAAACATATCTGTTCCATAACCATTTAGCTAATACATTTGATTGACTTCCTTCGTAAAATACAGTCATCTATCTGCGAATTGCATATCCAAAATTAAAGAAGCACAACGTTTCATCAATGAATGTCCAATTGACTGCATCGAAGGCATTTTCAAAGTCAGTTGGTAGCAGTAATCCTGGTATTTGAAAAGTGTCTGTTCCATCAAGTCATAAAGTAGTCTAGTAATCTCACCCATGTATCTTCCAGACCATAAGCCTTTTGGGTCTCCATCTTGCAATACATCAAGAACTGGTTTGATTCTTCGCGATGTTTTTTAAGTGATGCATTTTATAGAACACTGATAAAAGAGAGATATGTCGCCAATTTTTCAAATATGCTTTGGTTTGCCCCCTTTGGGAATTCAGGCAATGAGACCTCGTTTCAGTGACGTTGATAATTCACCTTTCTTATATGCCATATAAGGAGATTTGATTACATATTTTCCAATATCTATTCAAAAGAATTTGTGAAACTCAGCAGTGAAACCATCAGGGCCGGGACTCTTGTCATTTTTCAAGTATTTCTGGGCTGCAATCATATTCCAGTTCACCTTCCATTGACGAAGCTATATCATCGCTTAGTTTTGGAACCTGGTAAATTTTAACAATTCGTTCAAGTTAATATTTGTAACTTCATGTCTTGCATATAGTTTTTGATAAAAATGTACAACTTCTTTTTGTATATTTTCCTGTGAATCAAGTATTGTGCCTTTGCTATCTGTTAACCTGGTAATCATTTTTTTCAAGTTTCTTGACTCAAGTACAGGAGAGATGGTTTTTGGTTTTTCCCCTTTTACTATCCAGGTTGCTTTGGATCTCAAATTCTTCCTACTTGATAAGATCTTCAATACTTAGTCCAGTGTAATGGACAGTATCTTCTGTACTTAACCATATCCCATATACTAGTACTTGATCATATCCTATATCCTTGATCATATACTCTGTACTTAACCATATCCCATATACTAGTACTTGATCATATCCTATATCCTTGATCATATACTCTATACTTGATCATAACCTTGATATACTTGATCATATGACATATACTAGTACTTGAACATACCCTATATCCTTGATCATATACTCTATATTTGATCATATCCTATATCCTTGATCATATACTCAATACTTGACCATATCCCATATACTTGTACTTGAACATACCTATATCCTTGATCATATACTCTTTATTTGATCATGTCCTATATCCTTGATCATATACTCTATACCTGACCATATCCCAAATACTAGTACTTGATCATAACATATACTTGATCATATCCATATACTAGTACTCGATCATACCCCATCTACTAGTACTTGATCATATCCATATGCTTGATCATATCCTTTATACTTGATCATATCCATGATATACTTGATCATATCCATGATATACTTGATCATATGACATATACTAGTACTTGAACATATCCTATACCCTTGATCATATACTCTATACTTGACCATATCCCATATACTAATTCTTGATCATATCCTATATACTTGATCATATCCTTTATACTTGACCATATCCTTGATGTACTTGATCATATCACATATACTAGTACGTGAACATATCCTATATCCTTGATCATATACTCTATACTTGACCATATCCCATATACTAATTCTTGATTATATCCTATATACTTGATCATATCCTTTATACTTGATCATATCCTTGATATACTTGATCATATCACATATACTAGTACTTGAACATACCCTATATCCTTGATCATATACCCTATACTTGACCATATCCCATATACTAGTTCTTGAACATATCATTATACTTGATCATACCCTTTATACTTGATCGTATCTTTGATATACTTTATCATATCACATATACTAGTACTTGAACATATCCTATATCCTTGATCATATACTCTATAATTGACCATATCCCATTTACTAGTACTTGATCATATCCATATACTTGATCATATCCTTTATACTTGATCATATTCATTATATACTTGATCATATCCATATACTAGCACTTGATCATATCCATATACTAGTACTTGATCATATCCATATGCTTGATCATATCCTTTATATCATAACCTTGATATACTTGACCATATCCCATATACAAGTACATGATCACATCCTATATCCTTGATCATATCCTTTATACTTGATCATATCCATGATAAACTTGATCATATCCCATACACTAGTACTTGATCATATCCTTTATACTTGATCATATCGTATAACTATGACCATACCCAATATACTTAATCATAAACTAGTACCTGATCATATCCCATATACAAGTACTTGATCATATACTCCATACTTGATCATAATCCAAATACTGGATCATATCCATTATACTTGATCATACCCGATATACTTGACCATATCTCATATATGCTAGTACTTGATCATATCCTATATCCTTGATCATATCCTTTATACTTGATCATGATCCAAATACTGGATCAAATACTTGCCCATATCGCATAGACTAGTACTTGATCATATCCCATATACTAGTACTTGATCATACCCTATATCCTTGATCATATCATATATACTTGATCATAATCCCAATACTGGATCATAATCCAAATACTGGATCATATCCCATATACTTGAGCATACTAAATATACTTGATCCTATCCTCTCTACTTGATCATATCCTCTATACTAGTACTTGATCCCATCCTCTATACTTGATCCTATCCTCTATACTAGTTCTTGATTCTATCCTCTATACTTCATCCTATCCTCTATACTTGATCATATCCTCTATACTTGTACTTGATCCTATCCTCTATACTTGATCCTATCCTCTATACTTGATCCCATCCTCTATACTTGATCATATCGTTTATACTTGATCATATCATCTATACTAGTACTTGATTTTATCCTCTATACTTGATCATATCCTCTATACTTGACCCCATCCTCTATACTTGATCATATCGTTTATACTTGATCCTATCCTCTATACTAGTACTTGATTCTATCCTCTATACTTGATCCTATCCTCTATACTTGATCCTATCCTCTATACTAGTACTTGATCTTATCCTCTATATTTGATTCTATCCTCTATACTTGATCGTATCCTCTATACTAGTACTTGATCCTATCCTCTATACTTGATCCTATCCCTATACTTGATCCTCT